GCTAAACATAAATAGTTGAAACAAAAAAAAATATTTCTATTTTTTTTTTCAATTTTCGAAAAGCATAAATTTAAATTCCGCAGTAAAATTTTTTTCGTACCAAACCATGTCTAATAACGCTGAACAGCCTGAACTTGTTAGCAATTCAAATGATTGGAATAAATGGATTGAAGAAGAGATTTCTAAAAAACTTATTAAGTATTATGAGTATGACCAATTTTATGATATTCAAGAAATTGGTTCTGGTGGTTTTGGAAAAGTTTATCGTGCTAATTGGAAGAATTCTCATAAGCGTTATGCAATAAAATCTTTTTTTAATATTAATGATGCTACAGTCAAAGCATTAGTTCGTGAGGTAATTATAATGTCAAACATTTTTCATTATTATTATAAATATTTGAGTTTTTGATGTAATAATTTATTTATTACCTAGATTCAACTTCAACGTGAAGTTGATTTTCATAATGTTATTCGTTTTTATGGTGTCACAACTTCTATTAAAGGTATGATATATTCTTAATATTATTTATTTCATAAAATATAATAATTAATTGATCAATAAAATTTGTTTTTTTTTAAAAAGAAAACCAAAAAAAAGAATATTCGTTGGTGATAGAATATGCAGAAAATGGTACCCTCCGAAAATATTTGAAAGAAAATTTTGAAAATCTCACTTGGGACAATAAATTTAATCTCGCATTTCAATTGGTTTATGCAGTATCATGTTTGCATGATAAAGGGATCGTGCACCGTGATTTGGTAGATATTTTACAATTTATTACTATGTGTTTTATTTTAATGATTTTCTTATTTTAACGTTAATTTAATATTGATAGCACTCCAATAATGTGTTAGTCCATCAGAATACTATTAAGCTAGCAGATTTTGGTTTATCAAAAAGAATTGAGGAAACATCTAACTCTCAATCGAAAACATTTGGATTAATTCCTTACGCTGATCCAAAAAGCTTTAATAGAAGTACAACAGAATTATATTTATTAAATAAAAAAAGTGATGTTTATAGCATTGGAGTATTACTATGGGAGATATCTAGTGGTCAGCCTCCTTTTCATAATATACCGTATGATGTTGGCTTGGCTCTAAGTATTCTACAAGGCCTCAGAGAGACACCTATTCCCAATACGTCTACAGATTATATAAAAATTTATGCCGGTAAATACAATTTAACTATGACTTACAAACAATGTTGATTTTAATTAATTAAAGACGTTCTTTTTTGTAGATTGTTGGAATATTGAACCTGATAATCGTCCAACCATTAACCAAGTAGTTGATGAATTAAAAGTACTTATAATAAAGGAAAATATAAATATAAAGGATTTTCACTTATATGATGATCACAATACTGTCCAATCATCAAATAACCATCAACTACCTGATTTAGATGTTAAAATTTCTGAAAGTACTAATTCATTACATGGAGAATTATCTCAAGTTATTCAAAATTTTAATATGATGAATACAAAAGAAATAGAATCTTCAATGTCATCAAGTAACCAATTTGGGATAACTTTAATATAATAGTTAATAATATGTTCAATTTTTTTAATGATAATGATGAAGTAGCAAAACTAAAGACCTTAAGTTATCTTAATGAACAAAATATAACTTTGCAAGAGATTAATAATTTATTATTAAATAATCAAAATAACTCAAATTCTATTTACTTACTTGGAAAATTTAATGAATTAGGAATTGGGATTAGTGTTAATAAGCAAAAAGCATTTGAGTTTTATCAAAAAGCAGCAGATTTAGGAAATGTATTAGGAATAAATGATTTAGGATATTGTTATGATTGTGGAAATGGAACTGATATTGATAAGAAAAAAGCATTTGAATTATATCAAAAAGCAGCAGATTTAGGAAATTCATTTGGAATAAATAATTTAGGACATTGTTATGAAAAAGGAATTGGAACTGATATTGATAAGAAAAAAGCATTTGAATTATTTCAAAAGGCAGCAGATTTAGGAAATTCATTAGGAATAAATAATTTAGGACATTGTTATGATTAGAGCTCCGCACGGGTAAGGGTCAATTCGGGTGACCCGTCGGGTTGACCCGAAATATTCAGGTCAGGTTGTCAAATTCGTGACCCGGTATCAGGTCGGGTTACAGGTTTGACCCGACCCGATTGACCTGTTAACCCGAATACTTTAGCTCAAAAAAAATGTTTATACTCTGAAACGGCGTTTTTTCATGTTACCTTATGAAAAAAACGCCGTTTCGGCATTGTTTTTTATAAACAAATACGCCGAAATGGCGTTTTTCATTTTATTTTATGGAAAAATGCCGTTTCGGCATTTTTTTCACTTCTTTTATGAAAAAAATTGCCAAAATGGCGTTTTTTCATATTATTTTATGGAAAAATGCCGTTTCGGCATTTTTTTTCACTTCTTTTATGAAAAAAAATCGCCAAAACGGCGTTTTTTCATATTATTTTATGGAAAAATGCCGTTTTGGCATTTTTTTTCACTTCTTTTATGAAAAAAATCGCCAAAGCGGCTTTTTTCATATTATTTTATGGAAAAATGCCGAAACGGCATTTTTTCCCACTTCTTTTATGAAAAAAATCGCCAAAACGGCGTTTTTTCATATTATTTTATGTAAAAATGCCAAAACGGCATTTTTTTTTCACTTCTTTTATGAAAAAAATCGCCAAAGCGGCGTTTTTTCATATTATTTAAATGGAAAAATGCCGAAACGGCATTTTTTTCCACTTTTATGAAAAAAATCGCCAAAACGGCGTTTTTTCATATTATTTTATAGAAAAATGACCTGAATACTTTCAGGTCAGACGGGTCAGGTCGGGTCAGAGCAGGTTACCCGACCCGACCCGACCTGATAAAAATTTTCGGTTCGGGTCAGACAAATTACCCGACCCGACCCGACCCGTGCGGAGCTCTAGTTATGATTTTGGAAATGGAACTGACATTGATAAGAAAAAAGCATTTGGATTATATCAAAAAGCAGCAGAATTAGAAAATTCATCAGCAATGTATAATTTAGGAAGTTGTTATGAAAATAGAATTGGAANTATTTTATAGAAAAATGACCTGAATACTTTCAGGTCAGACGGGTCAGGTCGGGTCAGAGCAGGTTACCCGACCCGACCCGACCTGATAAAAATTTTCGGTTCGGGTCAGACAAATTACCCGACCCGACCCGACCCGTGCGGAGCTCTAGTTATGATTTTGGAAATGGAACTGACATTGATAAGAAAAAAGCATTTGGATTATATCAAAAAGCAGCAGAATTAGAAAATTCATCAGCAATGTATAATTTAGGAAGTTGTTATGAAAATAGAATTGGAATTGATATTGATAAGAAGAAAGCATTTGAATTATATCAAAAGGCTGCAGATTTAGGACATGAGTCAGCACAATATAATCTTGCTATGATGTATGAATATGGAAAGGGAATTGTTAAAAATATAGATAAAGCAATTTATTGGTACGAAAAATCTGCTGAACAAGGAGATCAAGATGCCCAATATAAGTTGGAAAAACTTAAAAAGAACAATTTATGTAAAATAAATCAATAACATATCTATAACTATAATAGTTATTTTAAATTTGTTTTAGTATATTAAATAAAAATTTTTCATTATAATTGATAGTTGCTTATAACTACAAACACTTTACTTATGACAAGAATTTAGTTAAACAATAATAATTAACCCATTATTATTATATTGCTAAGCTAATATTTTACTTTGTATAATAAGACATATAAGCTTTATGTTACTAATTTATCCTTTATAAAATTTATATTACATTTTATATTTGCTCTATAGATGTTGATGCAATACATATTCTTATATTTATTAACTAATTTTGTTATATTAGCAAGATTTTTTTTAAAAAATTCTGTAAATAAAGGTTAAAGGATAACCAAGTTTTGAACTTCAATTATTTTCTACAAGGTAAAGTAAATGTAAGGTTTATCAGGTAACTATATCAAGTAATGTGAAATTAAAATTAATATAGTAATAAACTTTGTTCGCCTAGCAACAATACTTTGTAATTTCTTTAAAAATCAAATGTTGATAGAATTAATTTTATAATTTCATTCAGTTCGTTCAAAAAGTTTATAAAATCTTACTATATATAATTAAGAATAAATTTAATATCTGATTAACTTGCCAAATTTTAAATTTAACTAATAAATTTAGTCATTCCAGAACTTCAGAACTATTTATTACACATTCATATTAATTAGTAATTGGTTGTTTTTATGAAGAAGGAAAATTGCTTATGAATTTTTGTTTTTGCAAAATTACTTCCTACTAAAAAATTTTTTTTGCATTATACTTTATTAAAAATAAGCATAATAACTATAAATTAGAGCTGCTTTGAACTCTATTTCACAACTGGCCCAGCCCGCATCTAAAGTGCCCGGCCCGAAAAACTGCCAATTTAATTTTGGCCAGTTTAATTTCAAACAGTGTTACGATAACATGTAATTGGACTAGAAATAATATGAAATTGGTAACGGTTATTCGGTAAATCAAAAAATTCAGAACAATAATTTATATTAAAATTGCTCAAACCTGACAACGCTGTTATAAAAGAAATCGTTCATGAGATTAATAGACATTTTTAAATAAAAAATTTCCACGGCAGAAATTAATTTTTACAAAGTAAAAAAAACCACTTCTATTTATGAATATGGTATGATTACCAACAAATATTTGTAACTGTCAGAATTGTTTTGACCCGCATATATTAAATTAAATATAAGAGTCAAGTTTAATCACACTTTTGCGTCGGAAGAGTTTATATAAAAAGTAAATCATGTAAAATTCTCTTTAACAATTTAGTATATAACAACTAGCAACCTCAATTAATATAATATCAAGGAATTTTTTACCCGAATTTTGATAAAAGTCCTTGCCATATAAATAATTTCCGGTGAAATTTCCAAATATAATTTTCAATTAATTAAAATGTGATTTATATGAATATATTAATTTTTAATTTGATTCTTTATTAGCCACAAAATAGCAAAAAGTACTAATTTTGGTAAAATTTCAGTATTAGCATATGTCATAATTTTAAAGTATTAACAATTAATATTACTTTCCATTGAAATTTCAGGAATGAATTTACTTTTTAGAAAAAGAAGTCTAATCTTTAATATTGAAATTTTAGAATTATATATTAATATTTAATTTTTTTTTTTTGCTAAATAACAACAAAATCATTATTTATTTATTGCAAGTTTTTAAATTTAAACTCTTGGACTTATGATAATAACATTTACGTTGCTAAATACAGTGAATTTCTCTTTACAACTTGAAACAATAGATTTGGCCCCTTTAAATATTTTATATTATTTACTGATAAACTCTAATTAATGACGTGTTAATACTTTTAGAATCAATCGTAAATTTTTATTCACGCGACCTTTAATCACATATGAAATCCAATAATCACGTGATTTTTTGCCGATTCGATTGCTTTTTTTTTTGTAAAATGAGATATTTTATTAATTATATGATAAAGAACATACAAATATATAAAATATATCTAAAGTTGGGATTCGATTGCTTTTTTTTAGCAACGTCTATTTTTACAAACAAAACTAAACACATTTTAGTAGATATAATCATATCATTTTTTTTGGATTTTGCCGTCACTGCTAAGTTTAAAATAAATTTGATTATTATGACACACTTTTACGGAAAAATTACGAATAATCTTATTATCCAAAATAATAAGATTAAAAAACTGGGGAGCGAAAATCATGCATTAAATCCGGATAGGGAAAATTATTATATTGTAATAAATTAAGAAGATTCTAACTTTAAAAAAAAATTCCAAAACACAATATAAGCTTTGCCAATTTGGTTTTTGATAATTAATCACTTGTAATATTCTCATATATAAACTTATGAAAATAAATTTATAGAATGATTTACTATTTTGATAATTTAAAATTACATACAGTGTGTAATATATTTTTTTTTAAAAAAAAAAAAAAAAAAAAATATGTATTTTATTCTAAAAAAATATGTACTTTATTTCAAAAAAATATGTACTTTAATTTAAAAAATATATACTTTATTTTAAAAAAAGATTATAAATATCCTTAATTAAGAAAAAAAAAAAATAGTTCACTTATTCTATAATGTAAAAAATAGACATAATGCATACATGTTTTTTTATTTCGACTGAAATCTTTCAATTATGATTTCTTAAAAACAATATTTTTTCTGCATTGTTAGTGCATAGTGCCTGTCTCTTATACACATCTAGATGTGTATAAGAGACAGGTATAAAATTTTTCTTGTTTAATTAAAGCACTAGCCAATCATGTTTAACTATAAATTTACCACCAACGAATTTATCAACAGAAAAAATGTCACCTTCATAATCTTTTCGAAAAGGTGGAGTACCACCAGATGAGTTAATTTTGATATTTTTTCTAACGTCTTTGGTAATATCAATCTTCCTTCCTTCCTCGGTTACTATAATAAATTCATATTTGTTGATATTCGCATCTTTTTCGAAACTTCTGGCAAATAATTCATTAACGCGAAGCTTATTTGATCTTTTCATAAATTTTGAAAGTACTTCCAAAATTAGTATAGGTAAATCATCCTGTAACCCGTCACTAAAGCCAGCGTAAGCGACTTCTCCTTGGCGTTTATTCAATAGAGGTTTGAGTTAATCCTATAAAGATCATACAAAACAAGGCGACCATTTTGACTTTTGAAAAATTTTGTTGAAAAAAGTCTGTGTTAAAAATTATCGTTTTAAATTAGATAATCTTTTTTCGGTTAGGGAGTGAAGCAAAAGTGTCGCTACTTTTATATTTGTCAAGGATCATTAATTTATCTTCCCAAAAGATTATAAATATCCTTAATTAAGAAAAAAAAAAAATAGTTCACTTATTCTATAATGTAAAAAATAGACATAATGCATACATGTTTTTTTATTTCGACTGAAATCTTTCAATTATGATTTCTTAAAAACAATATTTTTTCTGCATTGTTAGTGCATAGTGCATAAAAATTTGTTTTATACATATGAATTCGTCCTTTGAAATGTACATCCGTTCGCTTGTTATTATAGAATCCATAAAAATAGGTATTCAACTATTATACCCATTTTAACTATTAATAGTTAGTTTTTTTCACATTGCAAGATATTATCGTCACGATTAAATTTAAAAAAAAAAATTTGAAAAAAATGTTATAATAGCAAAATTAGGAATTTCCTTCCTTTTTTGTAATGGGCGCCATTATGTAATTCCGCCCTGAATGGGCGTAGAGCTAATAACAAACAATCGTTTAAAGTTTAAATAGTTATAAACCATTACATGTTACAACTAAACTAAAGTGTATTGACAGCACAAAATTTATGATTATAAATTAATTTTTTAATATGAAATATTAATAAAAAAAATTTATGTAATTAAAAATATAATACCAGTTGCATTATATATATGTAGTCGTTGTTAATATACAATATTTTGGCTGAAAAAATTGTTGAATCTGATTGGTATGGATCGTAGCCTCAGATGTGCATGATACATGTTGTTGTATACATTTAACTCCGAGCTCCGTAAATAAAATAACTTTACGTTCAATAAATTTGTATATATAGAATCGTTAAAAAAGATATTCAAAAAAAAGTCAAGAAATACTAATATGGAAATTTTGAATAAAACATCCAAAGAAAAGCCAAGAAATTTATGGAAAAATGCTGATTGGAACAAAGATCAGTAAATGTAATTTCACTTTATAATTTAAATATTATCATTTAAATACTAAATAAAATATATTTTAATCATTTATTTAGTCTCATGTTAATGTTTCTTCTATTAATTCTGCCACTAAATCAGAAGAGATTGATGATAGAGTAATTTATATGGACGATATAGAAAAAAGAAAAGAAGTATATGGTATATGTGGAGAATGTAACGATACTGGCACAGGAAATTATTGGTGTCAACCTTGTAATGCAAAAAGATTTGAAGAAAATTTTAAAAATTGGACTAGTGGAAATAAAGATATTGATTAATTAATACAACATTCACAACTTAATGCTGTAGAAGTAGAATATACAAAATGTCTTGAATGGATACCTTTTGAAAAATTTCAAAATGTCACTTATATTACCAGAGGAGGCTTTGGTAAAATTTATTCAGCCGTATGGCCTGAAGGAAATATTGGTCGTTGGGATATTGAAAATCAAAAATGGCACCGATTTACAGGCGGCGTGACGGTTGCGTTAAAAAGCTTGGATAATTCTTCTGATATTAGTACAGATTTTTTAAATGAGGTAACTAAATAAAAAATTAATTTACCATGTTATATTTAATTCGACATTATAATTTTTATTAAATTTTGTTTTTTTTAAAAAAAAATTTTAATTATTAGATCAAATCTTATCTTCAGATTTATATTTTGCATGTTGTTAACTGCTATGGAATAACTCAAGATCCAAATACCAAAAATTATATGATGGTTTTATATTATTGTGAAAATGGAAATTTAAGAAATTACAATTTTAATTCTTATAATCATATGAAACTTTATGATTTATCAAAAATTGCAGATGGACTGTTAGATATCCATAATGCTGGAAAAGTCCACAAAGACTTTCATTCGGGTAATATATTGGAAGGTGGGAAAATGTTTATAAGTGATTTAGGAATGTGTCAACCAGCAAATAATGAAGAAAAATCAGATAAAAAAGGAGTTTATAGAGTATTGCCTTATATGGCACCAGAGGTTTTACGTGGATATCAATATACAAAAGCAGCTGATATTTATTCATTTGGAATAATTATGAATGAGTTCCTTTCTGAAGAAATTCCATTTAATGATGTTCCTCATGATCATATTTTAGCTATTAAAATATGTAAAGGGCTTAGACCCAAAATTTCTGAAGATATTTCAAAATTTCTTGTAGATTTAATTATGAAATGTTGGGATGCTAAAGCAGAAAATAGACCATATGCTAAAGAATTGTATCAAACATTAAATAAATGGTGTGCAACAGAATTTAATGATCATGATGATGAATTTATTCTCAAATGAATGAATATTATGAAAAAATAACAGAAAAAACATTGAAAAACAGATCAAATGAAAATAAGTCTGAAAGTATTAAAACTCATCCTCAAGCAATCTATACCAGTAGACTTTTAAACTTTATAAATCTTCCAGAGCCTGTAAATTCATCAGATTTAACATCTTTCCAAGTTAATTCAGGTAAATCTTCAATTTTAATTATGAAAAATCTTATTCAGGTTTTAACAATTTTTTTTTCATATTTTTATTTTAACATTATTTTATTGTTTATTTTATAGTTTCAGAATGCTTTGATGTTCAACTTAGCGAATCAGGTAAAATAATTTATTTGAAGTTATTTATTATTTTATTAATAGTTTCTCATTTAATTCGTCTAATTTTATTTAATTATTACTAATAATAGATCTCGATGAAATTAATCAAGAAGAAGATAATTTGAATGATGAGATTTAAATTATAATAGTTTCTTCGGGAATAGTCAGAATATTATTTAAAAAGATAATATTTAAAAATTTTTATTTAACTTAGTTCACATTTTTATTTACCTTAGTATTATATCTTAGTGGGAATTTTTATAACAGAATAAAATAAGCAAAAAAGAAAAAAATATTGAAAAAGAGACGCTCAACTTTGATTACAATCAAACGTTAGAAAGCAAAACCATTAAGAAAACTTAAAATCGATCGCAAACAAACAAATAATTTTAAATTTGTTATTAACTTTATATTTTAAGAGTGATTTGTTTTTATATTTATTATTAACCTTTTTTTTTATCCGAATAAGTTTTTAAATAAAGTTATTTAAAACTTTAATTGATTTATCTAAAATTATTTTTGAGGTGGATTAAAATAAATCGTACATTTTCTACTCAGTATCCGCAGTAATCACATCAGAAAAATATAAGTTCATTTATCATATAATTTCCTTTATTTTTTCCAATACAATAAGTTTAATAGAATATATGTTCACAATATTAAAGGACAAAAATAATAAATTGATCGAAACTCGGCCCAATAAGAATTTTTAAAGAATTTTATCTCTCCTGCACTTAATTTATCTAAATAATTATTAACCAGTTTACTGAAGAAAGTAAGGTATTGAATTATTTATATAGATCACGCCATTCACGGACTATAGGATCAAAATTAATAACTACAAACAAAGCAAGAATCTTTTGCTGATTAATATATTTTTTCTATAAATATCACGAAAAAAAACTATTTATTACAGGTATGTAATGAGTTTTACTTTCACAGAATAAAAATATCTTTGTAATATTAAACCAATTTGGAATAAAATATAATATATCAGTGTTCGGCAAATGACTAATGACAAATGACCTTGGTCATTTGAATGTAATTTGGCCAGCTTTATGATTTTTGCCTACACTACATTCATTATTTTTTAATTATAGTCACATGATTAAGTAAGCGCGTAGTGGGAGAGCAAGTGGTTCGTGCATAGAACCTGAAATATAATCATTTAAGGACAGGTCTCAACTTGGTACCAACAATATTATCTTTATCAAGTTCTTTAAGCCTGTCCTCTTCACTTTCAGCGATGTTAACCTTCCAAAGATTAATATACTTCAATTAAACTTAGTATCATAATCATAATAAAGCTCTTTATAGACAAGAAACTTGAGGTGATAAATCGTTAAATCAATAATTTTGACTTAAGTTCATTAATATCGTTAACATTAGCAACGGTAACCACAAAAGTTTCATAAAAGAAGTGTTTCCTAGGCATAAACAATTTATTGACACTATCATTTGGGAGATAATTCTGTAAAGCGATTTATAGAAAGAAGTGTTTTTTAGTAAGAGATTAAATAGACTCTTGATCAGATTCTTGATCAGTAATCAGTAGCTTATAATGTACTTCGAAAAAAAAAGAAGAATTTATCAAGAATGAGTTAAAAAAAAAGTGAATTACTGTTAAACAATTTTTCGGTTATATGTTGATCATATTTGACTAAATGTCAGTTTAAAAGTTTTCAATTCCTTTAATTTGGTTCAGAAGATGCTGCTGGTAGGAGAAATTTGGTCTAAAATAATTTTGGTATTTAAACACGGTTTAAACCATTAGACCATATTCAATGTCTCAAGACAAGATAAATTACTGATTGTGCGTGAATTTAGGTTTAACACAAGATAATTACTGAATGTACTACCAACTTAATGTGAATTTAGCTTTAAGACAATTTTGGCATTTTACTACATAAATAACGTAATACATATTTGCAACTCAAATTAATAGAAATTAGTTCAAAACTAATTTAAAAGATTTAAATCTGATCTAAAACTAATTTAAAACTAATTTGAAACTCAAAAATTAATTTAATTTAAAAAAAAAATATTTCGTATGAAAATAAAATAAAAATTTAAATATTTAATTATATAAGGCGGCACAAAGTAAATAAATTGGTTCGGGTAGAATTCACTCACATCGGCTAGTTTAAAAAATTTAAATTTTAGATTTAATAGAAACTAATAAAATCATAAAAAGCTAATAATTATAAGAATGAATAGACTTCTTCTTCATCATCTTCTTCCTCTTCATACCCTTTAATCTCAAATTTAACAACACCTAAATTTTCATATTTTTCAATTATATTTATATTTTCCATATTAAAATGAAATTCCTTAATAATTATTAAATTAAGTAATTTTTTTGGTATTCTTTTTTTCCAGTTTATAAAAAATGATTCCAAATCTTTTGGAAAAACATCTGAAACTGAACTATTATACATTTTTAATTCACAAAAACTTTTTGGTGAGTGATTTACAACAATTTCAAATACTTCCTTTTCAGTTAAATATTCTTTTCCACCCCAAATTTTAATACTCTCCAAGTGTTGACAATTATTAAATATGGTTTTCAATATATCCTTTTCACCTTTATTGAATATTATAAAAAGACTTGTAAGATTTGGACAAAACTTAGCAATAGATAAATTTAAAGATTTATCATTCTCATCTGTATAAAACTTTTTCAGATTCTTTCCATTAATTTCTAAAAATTTCTTTACATAATCAGGATGTGGACATTGAAGAGGAATTTTTAAAATTTGTAATTTAGAAAAGTTAACATATTGTAACTCTTTAAAATCTTCAAAACTTGATCCATCAGAAAATGAAAATATAAATTCTTGTAAATTTGAGAATGAACCAACAAATGAAAATGGTAATTCATTATCACTATAAAGTCGTAATTTTGTTATTGTTTGAGAGTGTTTTGTTATAGCAGGTATAATATTTTCCCAACTCACATAATCAAAGGCTGATAATGTCAAATCTTTTAAATTATTTTGTAAAAAAATCAATTCTTTTAACCCATTTGAAACATCATAATGAAAATCTATAGAAATTGATTGTAAATTATGACATATTTGAGACAATTGATGAAAAAAATTAGAAGGAAGATTTGAACTGCAATATAACTCTGAAAGATCTTTTGCTCCAGGAAAGTAAGTAAAAGAAAAATTAATTAAATTAATAGTGTATTGATTACAGTAATAGTTCAATTTTTTCAAAGCATAAATTTGATTCATAAACATTTTAATAATTTCATTTGTAACTAAACAATTTACACTTGATGGTTCATTTTTAAGGACGTCTTCAACAATTATATTAATCCTACAAATTGAAAGTACTTTGCAAAATGATGCGTAATTAAATAGTGGTGGTTTTGATGTAGGTGTTGAAAGGAAAATTTCATTTTTATATAAGATTTCTCTTGATTCATTGGGAAGACAAGCAACTAATGTACTAAGGATTGATGATGATACTCTCAATGAACGTTTTCTACTTAACCTTTTAAAATTCCAAATATTCCTCCACAATATTCTAACGGAAATTTCACACCAGAGATGATTAACCAACAAACATGAATGTAAAGTGAGTTTATCTTCCTCCAAATATTCAAATATTTCATCCAAACAGTCAGCTGGAAGATGACAAGCCATTCTATTTTTTTTTTTTTTTTTTTTTTTTTTTTTTTTTTAAAAAAAAAAATTTTTTTTTTTTTTTTTTTTTTTTTTTTTTTTTTTTAAAAAAAAAAAATTTTTTTTTTTTTATTTTTTATTTTTTTTTTTTATTGAAATTTTAAACGTGAGAATTTTCTTCCATTTCACTTGTGTAATAAATAAACGGAATTTTTCGGAATCATGCGTCGTGTAACATTATTTTTAATCAATTTAATAATTTATATCATATCCCATGTAATGTTTCACCCGGTAACTCTATAAAGATAGACGGCACGTGGCATTCCTAATAAAAAATTGTCCAGTATATGATCGGCAAAACAATTATATCGGCAAAATAATTTACCGGGAAATTAGCCGATAATATAAACGGCCAAAAACAAATGACATTCGCCAGCTTTTTTAAGCTTCAAGATTTCTCAGTAATTTTTTTAAATAAAGAAATATTTTAGGTTAAAAAATAAAAGTACAGTACCGTGGCTTCTAACCATATAAGTTTTATTACAGGAGTTCATATTTTGCTGAAAATTTGATTATGTTTTGGACATTTCGAATATATGACGACCAATTAATAGTAATACTCTATGGTATGATCAAAATCTCGACAGTCACTTGCACGACTAACACAAGATCGACAACAAAATCTCGGCAATCCAAAATCCCGACAAGTCATTATATCGACAATTTTGTGATGTGTGTTTCTAATAAAACAGTTTTTGCAATATGTAATATTTAGTTTAAATGTGTTATAATTTTGTCAGGATTTTGACTTGTCCAGATATTGGATTGTCGAGATTTTGTTGTCGGTCTTGTATAGCGAAATGTACCGTAACCCTTGTATCAGTCGCTCAAATGATTTTCGAGATTTCGTACCAAAACCAAACTCTATCTACCCTTAATTAATACAACTCCATATATTTATTCTGAAAAACTGTACCCAAAAATGGGAAACGCTAAGAGTGTGTCATGTTATATTAATATACTCCCGTAATGGGCAATAAGCATTATTTTTAAAGGTTTTTAACAATTAATTTTTTTGAGTTGAAATAAAAAAATTGTTTGTACTTCTAGCTGTTTGGGATGAATTTTTTGAATATTTGGAGGAAAATTTACTTATTTTTATCAAAGTTTAAGAATTTTTATTAAAAATTATCTATTTTTAACGATTTAATAATGCCGTACCATAAGATTTTGTCTAATTCATTCATTTATATTTTAAGTGGAAGAGCATGATAATTTTTAACAAAAGTGTCATAAAACTTTTTTAACTAGATTTTATGAAAAGCTTTGTTGGTAATTAAGAAATTTTATGATAGTTTTTTAATATTAGTGATGTGGCATTATTTTCTCTGTATGTATATATTCTAAACAAATAATTTTTGCATTATTTTAAAAGGTGAAATACACTGAAATATTAATGATCAAATTCAAAAATTGAAAATGAATGTTTTGAATGCACTTATTCATCAAGCAATAACTCAATTCATGCGATTTTTAGTTCATTAGATAGATCTCACTCTCTTCTTTTCAATGAATACAAAATTATTCATATTGATATAGCTTGCATCTGTAACAAATTATTTTGTGTAGATGGTACATATTAAAGCCCTTTATTACATTTTCAATTTTATTAATTTTAATAAATTTTAAAGAAGAGTTAATATTATTAATTTGGAAAGTTTGAAATATAATAGATATTATGTTAATTTTTTTAAATCTATAGTCATTTATATTTATATTAAAGAAACGCGTAAATTATATAAATTAAAAGGTAATATTTATAAAATTAGCTGATAATAATTCAATTCGAACAATAAAAATTAATACAAATAAAATAAATTTATTTGCTGGATTTTGGGATGTGCTATACCGTATCGGTAATGATGTAATAAATAAATTTGAAAATGATCGACAAATGATCGGCAAAATTCATGTGATAAAGTAGAAAGGCTGCTATTGCAGTATTGACATAATGACATAATCATAACCGCAGAAAAGTGCGGATCTTTCCGTGTTGTAATAATTGTACTATAAACTTTGTTCACTTTGAGAAAAATAAAAGGTGCAGATCTTTCTATGTAAATTAAAGTTAGCTCATGTGAATAGGTAAGCGGAGTGAATAGGATTATTATTATTTTTTTTTTTGCCGTCAACTAATGCTCCACCATGTCTAATAAATAAAGAAGTAGAATATAATCAATATACAGAAAATTCCGATGAATGTATTAAGTGGATCGAAGAAGCTATCGATAAAGAATATTTAAATTATTACGAATATAAGCATTTTAGTAACGTCGAAGAAATTGGTTTTGGCGCATTTGGAAAAGTATTTCGTGCAAATTGGAAAAACTCGGAAAATTATTTAGCATTAAAATCATTTTTCAATATTAATAATGTAACTGCAAAAGAAATTGTTCATGAGGTAATTGTCAATAAATATTCACGTGATGGAGGCAAAAAAAAAATTGGTTATATGGTTCTTATGATTTATTTTAATTTTAATACAGCTTAAACATCAACGAAAAGTGGATTTTCATTCTAATGTTATTCGCGTTCACGGAATAACAAAGTTTGAATCAGGTATAATATCTAATAACGATGGAAATATATATCTGATATCTATAACAGATAATGCGATAAACTAAAATAATAAAAAACTAAAACATTTTTTTTTTTAATTTATTAGAAAATAAAATTGATCAAACAAAAAATTATTTGTTAGTAATGGAGTACGCTGATGGTGGTGCCCTTCGAAATTACTTGAAGAAAAATTTCACCTGTCTTACTTGGGATGATAAATTTAACTTGGCATACCAGTTAGCTTGTGCCGTGTTGTGTTTGCATGTTGAAGGAATTATACATCGTGACCTGGTAATTTAAAGCAAACATTATATACTATGTGTTATTTGCTTAGCTTAATTATTAATTATATTGTGTTAAATTATAATAGCATTCCTGTAATATTTTGATTCATCAAAATACTATCAAGTTGGCGGATTTTGGTTTATCAAAAAGGATTGAAGAAACATCTAAATCACGATCAAAATTACTTGGTATGGTTCCTTATATTGATCCAAAACGATTATTGAATAGCAATAATGTAATAGAATTAAATGAGAAGAGTGATGTATATACAGTAGTATTGGTGTATTGTTATGGGAAATATCAAGTGGAGTCCCACCATTTTATGAAAAGAAAAATGACCTTAGATTAATGTATGAAATTTCACAGGGCCAGAGAGAGAAAGTCATTCCTAATACTCCTGATGATTATGTTAATCTTTATACTGGTAAATATAATTTATTGGATTAAATATACATTAATGTTTACTTAACTAATTGTATTTTTTACTTTTTAGAATGTTGGAACGGCGAACCAGACAATCGACCATCTATGCATGAAGTTGTTGAAAGATTAAAAACATTTATTTCAAATTCAAATATACAAACAAATCATCATCAACAAAATGATAATACTAAGGTAAAACGGATACAACCTTTAAATACTACTAGTGATGAAAATTCATCAAATAAAGGATGGTCTCAAATGATTCAAATGCTTCAAAATTTAGATAGTATTGATATATATAATACAAATAAAGTAAACCCTATGAAATCACCCAAGAAAGATTTCAATATGATAGTTAATGAAATAATTGATCTTATTTCTAATGAATTGAATGAAAATAAAGAAGGAAAAGTAATAAGGCAGAATATTCTTAATTACCTTAAAAATCTTAATGTAGATTCAAAAGATGTTTATAATTGGATATTAAATAATCAAAATGATTCAGATTTTATATTTTTACTTGGATATTTTTATTATTTAGGAATCGAGACGAAACAAAATTTGAAAAAAGCATTTAGTTTATTTATCGGAATTGAAGAGAATCATATGCTAGCACAATATCACGTTGGGATTATTTATCAATTTGGATATCGGCATGGAGTTGCGAAAGATGACAAAGAAGCTTTCAGATATTTTAAAAAAGCAGCTAAAGGAGGTTATGCTGTAAGTCAGTTAGATGTGGGTTATTGTTATGCAATAGGATTAGGAACTAAAAAAGATTTAAAAAAAGCATTTCACTGGTACGAAAAATCTGCAAATAATGGAAATATAGTAGCTATTTATGATCTCGCACTTATGTGTAAAGACATTAATAAAGATTATGATAGAGCTTTTGAATTGTTTAAAAAATCAGCAGAAGGAAAATATTCACATGGAATAATGATGTTAGGACGTTGTTATGATAATGGAATTGGAACTAAAATTGATAAACAAAAAGCGAATGAGTTATATCAAAGAGCTGTTAAAATGTATCAAAAAGCTGCAAGATCAGGAGATGCTGTAGCTCAATATTATCTTGCATATATGTATAAAAATGGGAAAGGAGTCAATAAAAACATAGATGAAGCGATTTATTGGTATAAACAATCTGCTGATCAAAAATACAAAGATGCACAAGATAAATTAAAAAAACTTGAAAAACTTAAGAAGAGGGAGGGAAAATGTTTATGCAGAATAGTTTAAAAGTTTAAATAGAAATAAATGAAATATCAGATATATGAAATATATATTATACATATTAAATTATTAAATAGTATTATATTATTGTATAGGTATTATATTATTGTATAGAAGAAAATCCATCAATAAAATTAATTTAAATTAACCATTTTGCTAAAACAATAAGCTTTATTAACAATAAGCTTTAAGCATTAACTTTATTAACTTAATTTTATTTAATTAGATACTTCCAGACATTACATGCGTCAGTTGCGTCACGGTTAATAATTTAAATGCAAATTAATTCTGGCAAATTAATTCCACGTTTCTTTTGGAATTCCGATTAATAAAAAAAAAATTCCAAAAGCGGAGGGCGTGGCACGATTTTTCGTAACCTCCAAAATTTACAACTTTGATCGTAAATTAGGATCGACGAAGATTAAAGTTAGCTTATTTAATCAAGCCGTACATATTATACTACCGAAGATCAACAGGTTTCGCAAATCCATAAATTGTGCTCTCCTACCGTAAACGATTTTATTACTTGCTCCACTGTATCTAAGGATAACAAAATGCAAGAACCCCAAAAATAAGGAAAAATGATCGAAAAAGCTATCGATAAAAAACATTATATGGGGTCCACCATAGCAAAGGACAATTACGCGATTTTGAGAAAATCGCATTTAAAGTTACATGACCACTTTTACCGAACACTCTATCAATACCCGACTCAGTTTAATTCCATAAGGCAAATAATAATTTCCACCTCGTTGAAGTTTAAGCTAAATTACGAACGTACAATATTAATTAAATATAATAGCAAAAAGTGGCTTTGGAGTAACAAATTGGATCTTGAGATTGTTAATTTGTAAAAATTATAATTTCTTTATTACATATAAATAAAGGTAATGACTCTTTGCATTTAAGTTTAAAGACCATCTTCGAAAATCAATTTTTTGTGATTAGTCAATAAAAAAGACTTATTTAAATTTATTCAATTTTTTATTTATTACGTGCAAAAACCAACAAAACATTATTTCTTCTTTAAGTTAAATATATTCTGGCATGATACCAATTAGTTTGTTCTGTATTATGTCAAGAAATTAATTGTTCAAGGAGACTTGGTAATTCTTTTTTGAAATTATATTAATTAACATATATATTTTAATAAATACAGTATAATTTATTTGTTTTATGTCGTAACAACATTCTTGTAATGTATTAATTAATTCATCATTATACTATCAAAGTTGGCGGACTTTGAATTATCAAGAAGAATAGATTAAGCATATGAAAATTACTTAGTATGGTTCTCTACATTGACTCAAAAGTATTGATGGATGAATATATATGTATGCCGATTTGTGTCAGATGTACAGTAATTCTGGCCAAATCTACAGTGCCAGCCAGAATTATAAATCACGGGACTTCGGATAAAAGTTTAGCCACAAGGTAAGTGGAATTTTTTGTGTTATATAAAATTCATAATACGGGCCGAAATTCATAGTGCCGGCCAGACAATTTTGGCCGGGATTTCGAGAGTTTCGTTAGAGTCATAATTTTGGCCGGGATTAAAAATATATTTGACGCACGTCAGCTACATCTGACGCAAATCGCCATCTGACGCATAACATATATATCGTATTGGTGTACTACTATGGTAAATATCAAGTGAAAAGAAATATTAATTTTAGTTTAATGTATAAAATTTCACAAGGTCGGAGAGAAACTACTATTCCTAATACCCCTGTTAATTATATTAATCTTTATATTGGTAATTTTCCGAAGCGTAAGCGTGAGACATACAGTATCAGGTACACTTAAAACTGGGGAATTTCTGTCTGTCCGCACGCTTGTAAATAGTGTAAATACCAATCAAATTTCAGGATCTAAATATATCACGCGGTTTAATTTAATTCGGATTAGGAATGCTAAAAGTTTAATGTATGAAAATGAAAAAGATATAGATAAAATAATTTATTAACGTTAATATGCAAGGAACTTTAAGATAAATTTTAAAAACTAATAATAAATTTGATCATTACTTTCATATTATTTATTTAAATTTCGTCGTTAATTAATGAATAATTTTCTGTTAAAACGATTAAAATTGATGTACTTTTTATGTATTTTTTATGTATATTAGTCTAAAATACAAAATATTGTTTTTTTTAACTAACAAATTATTAATTTTTTTTATTATTATTATTCATTTTAATCATTTATACCACAACAATCACATTGTCTTAAACAAATGATAAAAGCTAAAGATAAAACGAAACCTGAAACACAACCAATAATACTACCCAAAACCCAAACTTTTTTACTTTGTATTGCTATATCATCAGCATTTAATTCTGCAGGTCCATTTGAATTAATTACATTTGGTGGATTTTTTGGATCAAAATTAGTTATCCAAGAATATTCTTGAGGTTTTGATGTATCTAAAATATAAATCTCATTATTCCTTCTATTTGTTGATTCGAGATATCCTAAGAAAAAAAAAAATAATTATTAAATTATTAAAAACTAAAAACTCATAAACGTAAGCGTTAATTCATATACATATTTACACTTACCAAACGTAACGAACATATAATAAGAATTAATTAAATTAGCAGAATGTAAATATAATCCTGGTATTGGATTTTTTGCATTAGGAGTTGACCAAGAAAACGTATTTCCTTCTGTTAAAGTTAATACGGCTAACTGTGGATCAGCTTGAGATCCACCATAAACTATAATTCTGTTATCGGGTGCTATTAAAAAGATTTTTTTTTTTTTTTTTTTTTTTTTAAAAAAAAAAAAATATTAGTATAAAATTACAATTGAAGAAAAACGAAATTTCAAAGAGTAATTTCCTTACTTATGACGGAAGAATGACCCTCTCGTACATTTGGAACGGTCCCACCAGCGTTCTGATATTCCCATTGATTCAAATTAGTATTATAAATGTAAATATCGTTCATTCTTACATAATCACCGCTAAGTAATCTACCACCAATATAAACAATTTTTTCATCGTTATTCAATAATACTGCGGAATAACCATATCTTCCACCACCAGATTGGGTAACATTTCCAACTTTCCAACCATATGATAATTCAATTGTATTAAATATATCCATTCTGTTATAAATAAATATACCAGTACTAGTAAAATCATCTATACCACCGAATATATACATTTTACCTTGATTATCACAAACTGCCTGTACACTTCTTCTTCTAGGTATATCTATCGTAACATTAAATTGTGGTGGATTAACTGTTTTTTGTTGACTATCGAATTTATAAATCAAAGGTGCAATTGTTCCATCCGATTTTTGTAGAACTTCAGGCACTCCCTCAAATACAAATATATTATCTTGTATTGCGCCTCCTACACATGCCGATGCGTTCACATGAGAAATATCTAAAGTGGTTAATTCATTAGACCATGGATATACTGATGTTGTATTGAATGGTTTTGATAAATCTAAATAAAATATATTATGGTTAAACGTCACTGAATTGTTTATGTTTAATATAGTACCACCGAAAATATATAATCTAGAAGAAATATATGCTGATGTTTGTCCATAAAGTGATGGAGGATAATAAATTGCGTATGTAGATACAAACGCAGACGACAAAAGTACGCTTATTAGGAGATTTATTAATAATTTTGACATTGTATAATTAATTCCAATAGAAAGTTTGGATTTATTGCCGCAGTTAAACTATTTTATAATTAACGTAGCGTACTATATATATTTTAACATGAAAAAAAAAAAAAATTCAATTTTTCTTTTTTTAAAACATGATTCAAAAAAGAGAGAGAGAGAGAGAGCGGTCTCTTATACACATCTAGATGTGTATAAGAGACAGGTACAAACCAATATTCTGCAGTACATTATTTTTTTTATTTGGTAGGCAAAAGGCGCAAAGCGCATATTTATTTATTAAAGAGAAACCAGTACAGAGTGCCAATTTACAGATAAAGGGTCTATTTTCTGTCTCTTATACACATCTAGATGTGTATAAGAGACAGAACCCATTTTTTTTTTTTTTTTTTTTTTTTTTTTTGGTAGGCAAAAGGCGCAAAGCGCATATTTATTTATTAAAGAGAACCCAGTACAGAGTGCCAATTTACAGATAAAAGGTCTATAGTAAAACTATCTGACAACAAATCTTGTAAAAAACCTTAGTAAAGAATTAAACTCGTAAAACCTTACCAACGGCAACCAAAGTTAAAGTAAAACAAAACAAAAAGCACTAAACTCCATTAAGTCATTAATGGAAACAACAAGAAATGGTTGTATTAATTTATCTTACCCACCCGGTTCACAACTACTGTAAAATCCAGGATTTCTTTACCAAATAAAATATGCTCTTTAACACCCTCCAAATCTTCATATCTTCTATACATATTTTCAGGGTATTGTAAAATATCTTCTTGTTTCTCTCTACAAAATTTAGAATCAGTTCTTTTCTTATCTTTTTTGTTAATCCCATAATTCTTTTCTATTATTTTCAATTTTTCGCAACGAGGTATCCAAATATGTTTCTTTGTTTCATCCATAACATATTGTAAAATCTTTGTTCCCAACTCTATTATCTTCATATTGTTATTTATTCCCAAGATGTTTCCAATAAAGTCATACAATTGAATCGGAAAGATGCCTTTAATTAAATCTACAAAATTAAACTTGTTATCCCTAAACTTCGGAAAAAAAATATCAAGTTTTTTAATATTTGTTAGTATTTGTACTTCATCAAAAGTAGCCCCATATTCCTTTAATAAAGTAACCATAGTGTCTATTGTTCGTCCTATTATCTGCTTTAAAATTTTTCTATTATATCTACATGTCCACACATGATTAAAGGTTTCTTTTTTCTTATGACAAAACACGCATTTAAAATTCCGGTAAATATCATACGAAGATTTCTTCATTTGTTCAATTGTTGGAATTTCTTCTATCAAACGTTGTATCTTCATTCTTTTTTGTTTACATATAAAATTATCAGTTTTAAAAGTTGTTTCACCCTCTATTTGGAGTCCAATATATGCGAAAACAATTTCCCATTTAACATCTAATATTCTATATCTCCAATTTCTATTCAGATTAAAGAATTTTTCCAATCCTTGTGTTCTAGTCAGAAGTCTAATAAACCGTCTTAAATTCATCTCTACCACGTAATTATTCCATAAGACTGGGAATTTATATTGTTCTGTATTGTATGTAACTAAAGTGTTAGATAGTTTATCTTCTATTTCGTAGCAATCTTTAATTTCTTTATCCACTGTGTTATGTAATTCGTTATCTGAGTGAGACTCTACTTTAATTACGTCTATATGTAGTGATAATTCATCTAAAATTTCTTTTATATTAAACCATATGGCATTATTTTTGTCAAATTTTAATAGATCCCTTGTAGTTATTGTCTCCCATCTATTAGTTAGATACCTATAGTTTTTAATTACATTTTGACTGTCTGTATATATCTTATAGTTCTTATCATCCTGTATCATTAATAGTGCAGTAAAGAAAGCCATAGTTTCTGCTTTTGTTGAAGTCAACCAATGCTCTACTGTTGAAAAGTATTTATCTATAAGATTATCATCTTCATCATATATCATAACCCCAAAAATTGACTTAATATATTCTGTCTTGTTTTCCTTAACTGATCCATCTATATATATAGATATATTCTTTGAACTATTTAACGCTATCCTATCCTTAATACGCTTTATTCTTTGATATGCAATATTGTATCTACTTCCTTTTTCCAGATTTTTGTCGATATTATCTGTTTTATCTCGTCTATCATCATATTGAATCAGGTCTTTATTATCTAGTCTTTGATGTATAATACTATTTTTAAAAGCACTATCGTATCTAAGCATTTCATCATAGAAATTAACACTGACCCCTTCGTAATAATAAGTACAATTTTGTAATCTTTTCGAATGATGTTGTTTATTCCATCTATATGGTGATAGTAAAAATACCCTTTCTATATGTTCCACGATTAAACAATTACTTTTAATTTCTCCTTTGAATACATCTGCATTAATTATCCCTAACTCACAACCTTTACACTTTCTTAGGATTATATTTTTTTCATAATCATCTGTCAAGTTTTCAAAATGATTAAAAAACACTACATTATTATCCCTATCTATTTTAATAATTCTTCCAAAAACTGTTCGATTTTGTAACACTCCTCTAGTCATTTTTGAAACGACCGTTGCTCCTTTTTCTGGTAAAACAGTGGTGGGTAATAAAATCGTCCCTTTTAGATTATAAACTTCGTCTACAGCTAAGATTTGTTCAACAATATTTGATTTAATTCTGTAACTTATCCTAGAGTCTGCTAAATCTGCCAATATATTCTCATAAAGTTTTCCATTTTTTTTTGACATTCTTTTTGTATTTAAAAGCTTAACAAATCTCTTCATTTCTAATTCTTCGATTGATAGTAAATATTTTTTATCCAAGGTAGTGATTTGATCCATAAAGATTAAATTATTATCTTGTAAAGTTTTAAAATTCTTGATATATACTCCATTTGAAACAACGTCTCTAATCAATGTTGGTCCACCTTCTACATTAAATTTAAGCATAATATTATCATTTCTTGCAAATTTAAAATTATTTTCTACTAAAAGTTTTATATTGTTTAAAATAAAATGGTATTTAAATCCAATATTTTTAATTTGCTTAATTTTATGAACTAACTTTTCATCAATAACATATATTGGATGGTTTTCTAATAGCAATTGTTGTTGTATGTTGATAAATCTAACTTCCATTATTTTTCCCAGAATACCTGTATCATTAACCTGTAAGACAAAGTTTGTAATTTTGGCTTGTTTTTGATTGGCAACCAAGTTATTCAAATTATAAATAAAATGAGTTTCTAAAATCGCGTTGGGTGCAGTTTTCGCAAATTTCAACCTATTTTTAATAAACGATCTGAAAGGAGCCATTAATTTTTCTAATACTCGTTCTTCTATGACATATAGTTGACTTCTATATTCAACTATTGGAATAATCAGCATATTGAAAAGATAAATCATCATCTTATCAGTAATTCCTTTTCTACAAGATATATTCTTTATTATTGCTTTGATTTCGTTTTTGATTTGTTGTTCCACATGTCTATTATCATTAAAGGCGTTGATCCAAACTCCTAAGAATCGTGATGATTGGTTGCGAGCTGTTGGTTTAACTTCTATTTCATCCTCTCCAAATTTGATTTTAACCACACTTTCTAAAGGTTTCTTTTTACTAACATTTTTCCTAAGGAGCAATTCTGATTTTTGCTTATTAATTTTTATGTTATTTAATCTATAGAAAGAATCAGCTATTTTTAAAATTCGTTCTAAATTTAATTTGTTGTTTGTGATAAATCCCGTATCATCCATATAAGCACATCCTGGAAATGTAACTGATCTAGAGCGATACACATTTTCATATACATCCAAATATTCTTTCGCTTCCATTCGAAATCCAAGATTTGTATTTCTTATTCTTGCTAGTAAGGGGTCGTAATATATTATCCAAAGCAATGGTGATATTATTTCACCTTGATCAATCCCTGTTAACATATCAAAGGGCTCAGTCAATCCTGTTGGGGTAAAGACTTGATTCGTCCTATTTGTGAACAATCCTGTCAGAATTTGTGTTATTCTCTTTGGCATTTTTATTCTTTCGAGTGCCTTTCTTAGCATTGGTATATTAATTCTATCGTAGGCCTTAGACATATCCAACATAAGAAACCACATCTCTTTTTTATTTTGCTCTGCATAGTTGATGATTTCATTAACTATCCTTAAAGGTTCAAAAGTTGATTTCTTTGGGAGTCCTGCAAATTGGTATCCTTTTAAAATATCGTTAGTAATAAAAATTTTAGAAAGTCTATTTGTTAGTATTTTAACAAAAAATTTCCTTGCAGTTTCTAAAAGTGTAATTGGTCGTGTATTGTTCAAATCGTATTGCCATGGCTTGGGTTTTGGTATCGGATATATATGAGCACGAAGCCAATCTTTTGGTAATGTTCCTGTTTCTAATATTTCGTTAAATATTTCTTGAAGGATTTCTTTTAAGGGTATCAGAGTAAGCTTTATATCTTCGTAAGAAATTCCTGTTGGACCATTTGCTTTTTTTCCTGGTAACATTTTTCCTATCTCAATTATTTCTTCTAAAGTTATAGGAGTTAATACACTATCATATATTGATTCAGATAATTCTTCTTTTGGCCTATACTCATCAATCCATTCAGCTGGAATTTCCTTTTCGCAATTTACAGATCCTGCACAATTCTGGAAATGATTTGCTACTAACTTTTTAATTTCCCCTTCGTTCGTTACTAAAATATCTTCTCCATCTTTATCTTGCACTATTAACCTATCTATATTAATTTTTTTGAATTCCCTTTCCATAACATTATCAATCATACGTCTTTGATTGTATTCTAAATCCTGTTGTCGTTTAGCTATTGCATCCATAATCTTTTGTTCTTTCTTCTTAATCATCTCAGTATTCAAAAATATATATGCTATAGAATATAGTTCTTCCATTTCCTTCAAATATGTATGCTTAAGAAATTTACTAAAGTTATAACTTAACACATAAAATTCATTATTAATTTCTAAGGCCTTAATCATAGAGCGTAGATTTTTAATTATAATTTTCCAATTGTCTTTAATCATTGCGAATTTTTTATCTTTTTTTAAATTCCTTCTAATGTAAACTATATATCTATAAAATCTATATTCCAACGTATTTTTGATATCTTGATCTTCTCTTTCAAAAGATATTTTAATTTCGCTATGCTTTATATGACTTTTCTTTGTTGTAGAAATCACATGGTTATAAATATTCCATTTCTCTTCTATATTATTAGGTTTATAATTTTTTAACCTATTTTCTAATTCCTTAGTGGCTGTGTCAGTGATCATCTGTTTATCATCATCATTTAATTCCTCATAGTGATATTTTACTCTATAAGATCTTTTTATTTTGGTTGATAATGATGGTTGTGAAATTATGATTCCTCTGTTTAATCTAACATATATTAGCCTATGGTCAGTATCCATTTTATTATATTCTACTATATTTGTTTTTATTACTGCATTATAAAGATTATTCGTCATCCATATATAATCAATACGAGAGAATGTAGTATAATTGCTAAATGTGCTAAAGCGTTCCATTAGTTGCTGATCATCTATTTCTAAAGAATCTTTATGGACATCTATAAAATCATGGTTTTCCAGATATTTAAAGATACTAAGTTGATTGTTTATTCTAACGCCTCTATTTTTTAATTTTTCATATTTAGCGTATCTGAGGTTGAAATCTCCTAATAGCATTATCTGATATTGATTCCTTCGCGCATCTTTAATCATATTTATCACTAATTGATTAATAGTTTGTTGTAAATTCCTTGCCTCAGCTGAATTACCACTTTTATTGTATATTGATATTATCGATAATTTGTTATGTTTGCTAAAATTAAGATTTATTTCTAATATTCTTCCCATATGATTTTGAACTTTGGTCACGTGATTTGCTATATTATTTTTAATAAAAACTAAGAGTCCTGTACTATTAATATTGGTATTATCTATTGTTCCAAATATTGTATAATTTTTGTTAATTCCAACTTCTTGCGTTAAAAATTTTCCATATTTAATATTAATTTTTGTTTCAGTAACCGCTAAAACATCAAAATTATATTTCGTTAACGTATCTTTAATATTCATCATTTTTAATTTCGTCATTCCTCTAATATTGAGAGTTCCCACATTGAAAAACGCTTTTGTATTATTTACTACATTTGTTTGATTAATTTTATCTTCTAATTCCTCATTCAAAATATTATCATCATTATTGTTAATAGTAATATTATCATTTTTATTGTTCTTTTTTCTTTTAATTCTTTTTTTGTAATTACGTATATGGACAGGATCATCACTTTTTCTTTTTTCATTATTGCTAGTTAGGGGGGAGTTATATATATTTAATTGATTGGAAATATTAGTATTATGGTTGTCTGTCATAATTAAATGTTGTTGTTTGTTGAAGTTAAAGCATTGTTATCCCCCTTAATAACAGTGCTTTTTTGTTTATTATTTGCGTTATTTTCTTGATTATTATATATTTGTTCAAATTTAGTACTCATATTTTGTAACATATCCATCATTTTTTTCATTGTATCATCAGCTTGGTCCATTCGATTTGAAAGAATATAAACATTATTAGCAGCATTACTTTCTGAACCGCTGCTTTCTTCATTTCTAGTACGTTTGTTATTACTATTAAATACTACTCCTCCTCTTTTTTTACTTTGATTTTGATTTGTATTTTTTGTTGTATCTTTAAGATTTGGATTGCTATGAACCTTAATCAAATTAAGCTCATTTCTCATCGCCGCTTGTTCTTTATACATACAATCCATCATATCTTTAATTTTCGCAAAGTCATTTTTAATATCCTGTAAGTTATCGTTAGTCTGTCTATGATACCATTCTTCTTTTTCTTTATCTTTCATATGTATCGAACCTCCTTTCTGAGTACCACGCAAAACATCACGTGATCTTACATTTGGCCGCGTTTTAGGTTGTTCATCCCATTCATGCATTCCTACTTCATTCATAATAAAATCTTCTTCATCATCCAAAGAATTTCTATTATCATCATCACCTTCATATAAATCATGATTTATATTGTCTCTATTCCAAGATCTATCTACATACCTATCATTCTGATTACCATTTCGCGTATTACCAGCATTATAATCTCTTTTTCTAAATTTTCTATTACTCTGTGCTGCCATCTGAGCATATGTAGCAGGGCTACTATAATTAATTGCTCTATTTCTTGCAAAACGATTTTGACGAATCTCTTTAATCTGTCTAAAATATTCATTCTTCCTCATTGGTCTCGTACGAGGGGGCACATAATCACAGTCTCTCATATAATGACCTGTGTATCCACATCTAAAACATGACTGCACACTGGGATCTGACCATTCAGTCTGTTTGTTTCTTACTAAAAAAATTTCTTGAGTAGCAGCAACCATAGCTGCTTCGTCTTTAAAATATACGTAAGCATACTTTTGTGTATCATTGGTATATGTATTCCGAGGAATATAAAATTCTACAACGCTATGATGATCTATGAATTCTTTAAATTCTACTGCCTGTGCGTTAGGAGGGAGTCCATTTAACTTCATACAAAATTGCTTGAGTCCCTCTCTAATATTTTTATCCATTAAAAATGGAGTAACATATAACATTTCGCCATAGATCCAAAGCACGTGATTATCGTAAAATCGATGAACACTATTAGCATCTTTAAAGGTAATATAAACTACTTGACGATTTGGTGCATGTGCATGAGGCCTTCGAGAATAACATTTCTCTTCTTCTAATTCTCCATATTTACGCATAAAGGGTTTAATTATAGCAGTAGTCAAACGAAGTGACGCATTAAACACTTGTACGACCCTATCTTGTGAATTTCCATTATTTTGTTTTTGTCGTGTACGATTTGTTATAACCTCTTCAAAAAAATAATCTATACCATCACATCGATAAGGCGTTTCTTGTAAATCTTTCCATGTTTGTTGAGAGATTAATGTTGCTTGTAAAGAAATTCCTGTAATAATCTTATTAACTTTTTTCTGGTTATCATTCATTTGTGCAACTGTGCCTTCTGGAACTTTCTGTGTCATAATTTGAACTTGAAGACTAATAATATCTTCTTGTTTAAGCATAGAATCCTCGAGAATACTATTTTGTACGATCTTCATAAATTTTTTATATTCATCAATATTATCAGGGTTGTTGATTGGCACTTTAAGTATGGCAATGATTTTACTATTTTCTAATTTATGGAATTGATTAGTGTCGTCCTCTTGCTCATCCATGATCATTTCTATATCGGGTAAGATAACTTGCTGATCATTTACGATTTGGTCATTTGATGTGATGTTGTTATGATCGACAGAAGTTTGACCAATAGCAGAACTAGATGTTTGTTTGTTAGATGCATCATTGTTTACGTCTAGATTTTGGTCCGTTGATTGGCCCACTGTGTTTGTACTGACTTTTTCGGGCGAAGAGACCAAGAATACTGGCGAAGACGTATTTTGTAAAACTTGTTTGTTGGTATTAAAACTAACTTGTTGTTTCTTTTTACGAAGTTCGCGTCTGCTAGAAGCCTCTTTAGGTTCTAGCGGTTCATTTATATTAGTCTGCAGAGGAGTAACAATATTGTCAGGTTCCTTTTTTTTTGAAAAAACTTCATGGTCACCGTCATTTTTATCTTGGACCAAGTTTTTGGCCGTTCCTGAACGAGTACGTTGTGAGATAGGGGGCGTTGGCGTCGCCATATTGTTCATATCAAAAGTAATTTCAACAAAGCCTGGGTACAAAGAGTTAAAATATGCCAGTTTTTTACAAAACACTTTCTTAAAAGTTTTGGTAAATGACGGAGCAGATCCTTCACATTTCCATAAAACTTTGTTAACTTATAAATATTTACGGTAAATGATGTCCGAAAACATCCTTTTTCATTGTCCAATTATAGAAGGAACCCAACAAAGGGGCGCATGTGATACATAAGATGCGTATTAGATGCGTAATAGAAAAAACAAATAAATATGCAGGATTAGGAAATGTAACCATTGTTTTATAGGTATATTTAGTAGTACATCAGTCGCACATCATTTTTTTTTAAAAAGAATTGTAACTATTTATATACTTTCATTTAGAATGTTTTTTATGCCTATTTATATATCTGATATGATTTTTTTAAAAAAAGTTTTATTCCTTTAAAAAAAAAAAAAAGAAAGAAAAAAAAGAAAAATTTTTTTTTCGTTTTTTTTTCGAAATGAATAATAAAAAATATATAATTTTTTTCATTTTCTTACTTACGACGACGATAAATTCACAATCGTTATCACCAAGATATGGCCATTCTTCAACATGCATATTTTCTGTAAATTCTACACTTTATATTCTAGGAGGAATTATGAACAATGAATTAACAAATGAATTCATTTCAATAGACGTATCTCCATCTTCATTATCATCTCGTCAAACTCAAATAATTTATTTGAATAAAAAAACAAATATGGATTTCATATTACCTCACGCATTCGCTCAAACATCACCAGGACTTAGCGAACCATCTCAAACAACCACCAATCCACAAAAAACAGCGTTATTCTTATTTGGAGGATTACAAAATAATTTATTTGAATTTGATTTATCAAGAGTATTTGCTTTTAATACTAGTATAAATCAATGGATTCGTCCTAATATTGATAAAAATCCTTCACAAAAACATTCATCATTTCGTGCAATTAATTCAAATTATACCGAGAATTTTGATTCAATTTATACATTCAGCATAAGGGATAATAACGGTGAAGTGGATTTATTTTATACTGGATCTTTGAGTTGGAATTTTGTTCTTAATTTACCTCAATTTGGTAATCTTCATGGATTTACTACTACTTTGTTACGTAACGGTGTTATTGTTTATTTTGGTGGAAGTATAATCAGTAATGGAAATAATGGTTTTGGTGATGAATTATTCTCTAGGGATCATCAATTTGCTCAAACTAGTAATGTAAGTACAAAGTTACAAGGCGTGTGAAAATATTATATATGAAAAAAATATAAATTGAATCATTATTATTATTAGTTGACTATTTACAATACAAAAACTAATACATGGGATTTTCAAGTAAGTTAACGCAATGAAACGTGTAAATCAAATATTATTCTTAAATTAATCAAAATTTTTTAAAAAAAGCCAACCGTCGGTGATCCTCCAAACGGTAGAACCATGCATTCCGCAGTAGTTAGTAAGTAATTTTTTCTCTTAAAATTCTTAAATTACAAAAATTACAAATTTAAATTTCATTAAATTAATTTAACTAGCGTTGGATGGAAGAATAATTATCTATGGAGGAATAAATGATGTTATATTAGGAAAGGCATCCTCCGATTCGGATAGTAAAAAATATCCAAATCCGTTAATTTCAGTATTAGCAACATCATCTCAACCATTTCGTTGGACCACATTACAATTGGGTGATAACTCTTTGGAACCATTACAAAGTTATGGCCATACTGCTACATTGGTTGGAAATTATATGATTGTTGCTTTTGGAAGTAAGGCATTTAAATTTTTATTTTAAAAATTATATTAATTATAATTAACTTTATATAATATATATATAGTGCAATCAAGTGAAAACGCAAAACCAAGTACACAATCATCATTAAAAAATTCATTTACCCCATCAGATTCAATATACATAATGGATACAGTAAATAAAACTCACATAATTTGGTCAAAATTACAATACACATTAATAGATTTTCCTGTACAACATAAACTTTTTACTCAAGCTCAACAAGGTGGTATTATATTTGGATTTACTGTGTTAGGTATTATTGTAGGTACTATACCTACTTATTGTTGGGTTAGATACCATCCTAAAAAAAGAACTGGTCCTGGTGTTGCTATGAATTAGAATATTAGAATACTATTATTTATACCATTTACCTTTCCAAATTGTATCATTTACGTGGCACGAAAATTTTTTTTAATGTTTGTGTTTGTAACACCTGTACGTCACATCATTTGTTTATCATTTTATTTCAATAAATATAAAAATTTTACACAAATCTTAATCTTGTGTTCATATAATTAAATTAACTTTTATTATTGGTCCGGACTCAAATGACGAATTGGCAAAACCTATTTGATTACATTAAATACAAACAAAATTTACTATGCACACTTTATATCAACAAATATTTATTTATTGACAAGCTTGAGATTCTAGAACACTGTGTCACATCACCTATAATTACAAGTAAATTCCTTGTTGACTTTATGCATCGAAAATCGAAAAATAACTATTCATTCCTTGTATTGTCGTTATTTTAAACCTCTTAAATATACTGTACGTTTTGATATTATCTTTAGATGACGCAAAAGATACACCCCTTCGGATTAACTTCTCAATTCACACTTGGTTGCATTTTTCGATTGGTTGAAGTTCAATTTGATTGACCTGGTCTACTTGCATTTGTTTGTGCGACAGAACTTTTTAAATTTGTTTAGAACGCAAATAAACATTTCTATTGGTTGGTACAACTGGAATGAAAGAACCGTATTTATTGTAATATTAATAACAATAAATATAAATTCTACTAATACATTAGTATTTACGTATCCATCAATAAATTTCTGCGTTATTAATTAAATCATCCCATTCCATTTAAACGTGATTAAGTTATAACCAGTCAATATTTTATATTTTATTCTATAAATTTTTTTATAAATAAAAAATTTATTTATTCTCTTTCTTTTCCATATGTGGGTATTGTCTTACATTACATATCTATCATCTACCAATAATGTCCGATATAGGATGAGAATTGAAACCAAAAATGAGAAACTGAGAAACGTATTGATCGTCAAATCGATACTACAAGTAAAGATGGGCATATTTGCTAAGAATTTGAAGTTGATCGCTCGAACCAAGAAGTTCAATATATGTTGGTTTGATGCCAGAATATAGTTTAGCCTTTTTCGATATTTTATAGCATTATATATGCTTAAGCTTATTATTTATTTTTAAGTTTAAATATGCTTTAAGCTTCGAGATTTATGCATTGAATCCGCAACCAGTTTATGGTAGGTTAATAAAAAAAAAAGTGCTGACAAAAAAATGATGTGCAAATAAGACAACATAATTAAAAATGATAGACGTAAATAAAATTGATAATCATAGTATGAATATGATTAATTTAGTAAAGTTCATTCATTATGTTTGCATAATAATTACCATTTACTTTTATTATATTTTTTTCTATAGAAATTTCCTTTTTTATTCTTACTTATTTAATTAGAATAAAGAATACGCATCTTCCATGGATTTTTCTTTTTCACATTGAGATAGGTTCGGGTTTCATTTTTTTTCCAAATTAATAAAATTAATAATAATTTCAAGATTAATAATAATCTTAATAATTATTAATTAGTAATTTGATTTGATTTTTTTAAAGAGATTATTTTTTCAATTAAGTGGAAATTAGAATAGGGAAATCGGTGATTCCTGTGATAGCGCTGGGGTTTCACCTTTTTTGAAATCATCTGTATATTCGTATAATAAGCGGAAAAAAATGAAATGATAAATAAACTTAATTCGTTCATTTTGCAAAAAAATAAATAAAGATGCTTAATTTGTTTATTTATTTGTAATTTTTTTAAAAAAAATACTAAATTTATTAGATGCATCTATCAAATTTCATCAAAATTTTTATTGGGCAAAATATTACTTTTTCATTTTTTCCTTAAAAAAAAAAAATAATAATAATTTTATGTAAAATTTTTTCAAAATATTTGACTATTGTATCATTTCTTTTACAAGCTGATAGACTATAAATTATATTTGCTGAAGAATTATTAATAAGCAAGCAATTTGATTCTTGAGTTTTATCATTATAAAATTCTACATCTCATTGGAGTCAAAAATCAGCCATAATAATTGAATTTAATTACAAAGGGCTGCCTATTGTAAATTTGATGTCAATAAATATTAAACATTAATTAAATTTATTGAACACATGTCTAATGTTCTTGTTATACTTTTTCCTTTAACAAAGAATCGATTGTTTTATTTATATGACAAAACAAAAAATTCTTTGTTTGTATAGGGTTCTGGTAAATTATTGGGTATTATTTTTTATGACAATAAGTTATGTAGTGCTACTAGCTAGTGTATTATTTATTGAACACGTTACGCAAAATTAATTGACACAAATTGTGCAACATATCGGATTTACCACTCCGAAAAAAATTGATATAATCTGCACAGCCGACAATGTCATACGACTATACTCTCTCTTCGCTTACAATAATGTCATGCTCAAAAATATTTTCAGGAGATTTACCTGAATTAGCATATGAAATTATAAAATATTTTCAAGATGATTTTCCAACTTTATATTCATGTATTCTAGTTAATAGATTATGGTGTCGTTTAACGATTCCATTATTATGGAAAGACCCATTTTCTATTTCTACTGGAAATTATAAATTTATTGGAATTTATTTAAATAATTTAAAAGGTGATTTAAAAACAAAATTAAATGATTATGAAATTGATAAATTATTACCTTTAAATAATACACTTTTCAATTATCCTAGTTTTATTAAATATTTAAATACAAAAGAAATTATTACTTCTATTGAGAAATGGTTTGAAATTTCCGTTGGAACTTTAATAAAATTCAAAAAACGTTATTTTATAAAAAATGCTTATTTAAATTTAAAAACTGATTTTAAAAGATTAATTCATATGTCATTATTTAAAATATTTATTGAAAATGAAGTAAATTTACATACTTTTGAAATTGAGGTCACTCTTAATGGTTATAGTTCTTATTTTAATGATATTTTTGAATTAATTTTACAAAATACAAATTTTATTCATAATATTAAATATTTAAAACTTTATACTGGTAGAACTCCTAGTTTCTTATATTTTAATGAAACTAATGATGATAAATTAACTAAAGATCATATATTAAAATTAATTAATTTACATCCAAATCTTAAAAAAGTTGTATTAGATAACAAAAGTTTTCCTTTATATCAATCATTATTATCATCATCAAAGATTTCTAATTCTATTTGTTCAAATACTTTAAATACTATCATATTATATTGTATCAATTTTCAAGATATAATTAATTTAGATAATGTATTTGATCAATTAAATGTTTTGGAATCTATTCATCTTATTTATTGTTATCCTTTAAATACTGGTTTTATTCAACAAATTCTTAATTTAACTAAACCATTTAAATTAAAATCTTTAATTATAAATTATAGATCACAAATTGATGAATCATTACATTTATTATTACAAAAATTTGGTGATTATTTAGAAAATTTTGGTTATTGTAATTATGATTTATTATCAAAACAAAAATTACTTGAATCAATTATGAAATATTGTAAAAATATCAAATTACTTGATTTACATGAATATGAAATTCAAATTATTCATCCTATATTAAATTTAATTGAAAATATTAATCAAAATCTTAATTATCTTTCTATTAATATCTTTCAATCATTAATATCAAATAGTAATATTACTGAATATATTAAATATAGTTCATTAATATTACAAAATTTGGGTCAAATCCTTCCTTCTAAATTAGAATATTTAAGTTTAATTCTTCATATTAAAGAAGATAATTTTGAATTCTTTTTAAAGAATTCTCAAAATACTTTTATTAAGAAATTATTAATTAATAATAAGGATGGTGATGATATTTTACCTTCTATAAAAGAATATATTATGAAAAAGAAAAGAGTCAAATATTTATCTATTAAGAATTCTTCTTATAAATATTTATTATTTAATAATGAGGATTTATTTTATTTGAAAGGTGAAGTAGAGGAATTTAATTCATATAATATCAAAGTACAAAATTATGATGATTCAATTATAAAAGTTTATAATTATTTAAAGAAAAGTGATTAGTAATTGTTTAGTAATATTTATAAAAATTATTATGTATGAACGTTATTATATAAATTATAAATTTTCTTATTCTAAAAATAAAACATTATTATTATTGTATTAGTCGATTATTAACATAAACAAAAGCGTATAGTGCATACAACTTAGTCACAATAAAAAAATTTTTAAGCGGCCAAATTTAAAATATCTATTTATATCACGCGATACATTAAACTTGCAATTTTATTGGCTAGATTATTTATATATAATTTTTAATTCTAGCCAGGCTTATATATAATTTTAGCCAGGTTTATGCATAATTTTGGTCAGATAAGTGGCCAAATATTTAATTTAATAGTAAAATATTCTAAATTTGAACTGCTACTACTTTATTAAAAAACATTTTATGGAAAATTTTAACCAATGATTGGCCAGTTAAGACGGTCAACCAGTTAAGACATCTACTAACCAGTTAAAAATGATTGTTACAGCTGATTGTAAAAAGAATGGACCATTCTTCCTCCTTCTCAAATTTGAGAGTCTTTAGGGTTTTAGCGTCTTCTATACAGGCAATAATAAGCAGGCGGTTTGCTTGCATTATGTATATATTCAGGAGCCCTTCCACGCTGATACCTTTTTGCCGAGACTCTTGTAAAATGTAAACAAAGTCTACACCCCAAAATGTTCAAGCTAACATTACAAAATTTCAGTTTTTACATACCTGTACCTGTTGAACTTATTTCTAAAATGCAGAGATTCAAAATTTACAACATTAACAGGTAAACCAATAAGACTAACATGCCACTATCCCGATTCTTTCATTTTTACAAAATTATTTCACAATAAAATTTAGCATAAATCTCACATACTAGATTACCAGTTAGGTAGTGTCAGTATGGTTAACAAATTCAATTCATTTAGCACGACTATTCATCTGAAAATATTTTTTTACATGTAATATTGGGGATGTGGGATGTTTTTAATTTAAAATAAGAAAAGTAATTGATAAATACACAGTATTATTTTTGGAAATATCATGTATGCTATGAATTTCTCTTTTAATAACTGGAGGTTGGAACCGGTTAATTAAAGTGATTTGCATACTTCTGGCCCGCATTATATAACTGACCAGAATTATGATCCAAACAACTTTGGTCACGTGCTCAAATCGAACAATTTTTTAACGAAATTAATGAAATAAGGTCTCCCTAATTTAGTCAAAAAAAAAATTTTTTTTTTTTAAGTATTTTTTAGTATTATCGCCGTTTTCAAAATAGTATACGCAATTTATTTGTGATTGTATATTCGAATAGGCAATATTCGCCCGGTTTTCGTCCGTTTTTTGTCCATATTTCGTCCGGTTTTCGTCCGGTTTTCGGTTTTCTTTTTTTTTTTATTCAATTTAACTGNGGTTTTCTTTTTTTTTTTATTCAATTTAACTGAATACATCATTTTGAAAACGGCGATAATTGGTTAAAATTTTTTTTGAACAGTTTCTAAATTGCTTTCAACACGTTAACCAGGAACAGCCATATATTATTATTAAACCAAATTACAACTTAATAACAGATAACAAAAGATCTACAATAGTCTCACAACTGTTCACCTGTTAAGGTTTTACTAATTGGAATGCTAATCATCTGACCCTGCTTATAAATCACTCATGTATGTGTTACAGCCTACAGTATTACAAAAGATGTACAACATGTGGGCTTATAATAACTAAACTAGCTTTCTCTGATAACTCCGTGAAAACTTTTTTTTTTCCTTCCTAAATTTCTAATATGACTTTGCCTTATTTAACAGATGATTGTATTTATTCCATTTTACAACACCTTCAAAATGATCGTTCAACTTTATTTAAATGTTTATTAGTTAATCGATTTTGGTGCAGATCAACTATTCCTTTACTTTATGCAAATCCTTTTGAAAATGTTAAAACTGAAAAAAATTATTCAATAACCTTGACCTTAATTTTTTGCTTTAATAAAGCAGAAATTTTACAATTGAAGAAACAACTTGGATTAAGCCAGATTAATAATAATATTAATTTTGATAAAGAACACAACCCTTTATTTGAATATCCAAAATATTTGGAAAATTATAATAGTAAATTAATAAATTCTGTTATTTATGGATGGTTTGCTAAATATTGTTCAGATTTATTAAGTTCTCAAAAAATATATAAAGATATTATTCCGATATTTCATCAATCAATTTTACGTCAAAGTAGAAACATTAAACAATTAGATATTTTATTATATTTATTTTATGAAGAAAGTTTTAAAAACTTTAACATTCAAAACTTCACTTCAAATTTAACAAAATTAAATTCATTATCATTAGAATTTAATTCAAAAGGAGAAATTGAACAAGAATTTTTAAAGAATATAGCAAATATCTGTACAAATTGTAGAAAATTAGTAATTCGTTTTCCTCAAACTAAAAGTTCACCATTTCATGACGTATCCAATAATTTGATTGATAATACTACTATTATAGAAAAGCTTTGTAAAATTATTCAAGTGCAAAACAAACTTAAAATGTTTAAGATATGGAAATGTCATTTTTTATTAAATAACATTCTTTTGTCTTTAGGATTTCAAAAGCATTCTTTAGTTCACGTTGAATTCATAGGCATCGATTTTAGTAATGTTAATTTAAAAAGCTTTAATGATTTATATAATTTAGAATATTTAAAATTTGGATATTGTAAAGGTATATTATTAAATCAATGTGAGAGTTTAAATTTTTCTTCGTTTAAGCTCAAGGAACTATTATTTATATGCAATTATTGGAATATTGGCGTCACATCTTTAATGATCAAATATCTAGGTGCATCATTAAAAAGATTATCCATTGAAAGCCCAATTATTTCTCTTATTGAAAATATATCAATGTATTGTCTAAATCTTATTTTTTTAAAAATAAGAATTAATTTTCATATTGATTTATCAGTGGTAGAATGTTTTAAAAATTTAAGAACAAGAGCATTAAGTCTTAGTATTCTTTATGATATTAGATTTTTTGAATATTTAGCAAATAATATATCTATTAGTATTAGTGAAATTTCTATTTATATTAATTCTTGTGATACCGTTAAGTTTAAGGAATTTTTAGAGAATTGTCATGGTAGTTTTGAAGTGATTAATTTAAATCAGATTATTGGATTAGAATTACTTAAAATTGTTTTAAATTATATTGAAAGAAGTAACAATTATTTAAAAGTTCTTAGTATGAAATTGGATAAAGAATTGAATGATGAGGAATTAAAATTATTGAATCTAATTAAAGCTAAAGGAATTGAAATAGTGGAATTTAATGAATCGGATTAAAGCTAAAGGAGTTGAAATAGTTGATTATTATACTATCTCTTATGATCTACTATGTAAATTTACATGTTAAGGTTTTTGAGATAGTAATATATTTTATTTATTTACAATTTTTATTTTATATTATTTTACTCATTAAATAAAGTCGAATTTTATATGTTTATTTTAAATAAATATAAAACAAACATTTTTTTTTAATAAAAAAAAATATTTTTACATTGATAAATTGGGTGCGTTCACCGATCCATTTGGATTGGATCGGATCCTCATATATAAGAGGATTAGATTTTTGATTTTTGTATTATATCTTAAGTCTTAACGCGATTTAGTTCAAACTAGATTTTTTCCCATCCTTCTTTTTTTTGATTATTAATACTAATATTTTTTTTTTCTTTTTTAAAATTTTTTTCTTTTTTTTTTAGTATTTCGGCCTGGGCTCTCTCCCGGTAAATAGGCTGTCTCTTATACACATCTAGATGTGTATAAGAGACAGATAAAATATTATATTATTATTATTATTATTATATATTTTTATATTTTATTTAAAACTTTGACTATTTAATGCTATTTTATTTTAAATTTTGTAATCGAAATGGAGAAAATGGAGCGGGTAGTTAAAAAGAAACCTAAAATTAAAGGATTATTATTTTTTTTTGTCATTATGATTTATTAAATATAAATAAAATCTATTTTAAAAAAAGAATTGTTATACGTCATTTATTAAATCTAGTAAAATTTTCATTCGGGATATTGGAGTTTAGGGAATGAGCCAGTTCGGGAAATGGCAAATCGGAAAATTGACTTCAGGGAAAATGATATACGGTAAAGCTTAACCAGTCTATCAATCAATCAAAGAAAAAAAGGGATTCTCATTTAACAAAATTTACCATATGCAGTTAAATGAACTTGTGATATTCAATTAGAACTAATTGGAAGTATATCATACATTTCCTCATTGTATAATTGACGATCACACATCTTAAATCAAATTTAGAATGACGTAATTTTGATTTAAATTTCGAGTGATAATCATATACTGTATATGGATTCCTTATGAAAACTTAACGTTAATTCCGTTTATCTTTACTTTCTTATTTATCGTCGCACATGTCACACATGAGAAAGCCATCCTATCTATGAAAATAATAAATTGTTAGTTATTAAGTTGAATAACTCGATAATATAAGTAAAAATTTATTTTATAATTATGTGTCAATATGTTTTGGGATGTACCTTTTACACAATTTGGAAATCATCTTCCATCTTTTCTCTTCAGCAATTTTCAAATTTAAAAATTTATATATATATATATATAACCCAGAAAAATTATTATTAATTTAAAGGCGTTGGAGTAGTTGCTCGATAAGATGATTTTTAATCCACTTAAGAATTTTGAAATTAATGCTTTGTCACTTTTAACTGTTAAGTACAGTATTAATGATATATGTAGCATTTTATTATTACAAATATTTCACTCGTGTTAATCCTTTACCTGGCCCTTTCCCATTTCCATTATTTGGTACTTTTCTTTATACTATTCGGTTTAGAGGAAATATCTCAATGTTTCATAATTATTATTGTTACGAGAAATATTGTGATATATATAAGACTAATAATTTACATCGATGTATAGTTTTATGTCGAGCAGAATATCTTGAAATTTTTTTATCGAAAAGAACGCATGGGATGAGATGTCCAAATTTCAAAGGATTAAAAGAATTGGGACTCGAGGGAAAAGGAATAACGTGCAATAATAATTATAAGTCGTGGATATTTAATCATCATTTTTTTATCAAGCTATTTTGTCACCAAAATTTACTAGTGAAGTTATTTATTAGACAAACGTACTTTTAAATGAATTAGAAAGTTATTGGAAAAAATTAGTAAAGAAAATAAATTAAATTGGATTTTATGGAATGGTTTAGTCATTACACAATTGACATGGTTAATAAAATGTTAACTGGTAAAAGATCTTATTCAATGACAGCTTATTTTAATACTATTAGTGATGAAAAATTTGATCATCAGTCAGCGAGAGTCGAAGATTCTGAGAAATTATTTCGATCAATTCATAAAATTCATATAGGATATTTATTCTTTTTCATAATTCCCTCTTTTTTACGATCTTACGTTCCATTTTTTAAAAATATAGCAAATGATATACTTCAAAACACGTAGAAAAGAAATTGAAGATACACCATTGAACGAACCCTTATCTCATGATATGTTGACATCGATGATTATCAAAAATACACTTCGTGATGGTAATTATATCGAAACCGATGAAGCCAATAGATCCATGACTGATAGTGAAATTCGCGTCAATTTACTTGATAGAATTTCTAATGGAATGCACAAAATAAATTTTTAGAGGAATTTCATTTTATTTCACACTCTTCTAATCATAAATGCAATATGATTTAGCTTGATATTATATTAACAATTCCTTTTTTTTTTATTTCAAATCTAGGCTGCAAATATGCTTTCATTCATTATCTATTATATTGCATATAATCCAAATGTGAAAAAGAAAATGCTAGAAGAAATTGATAGTATATTCCAAGGTAAAATACGACCAATTACTAAAGATGATTTTTATAGTTTTATACAATTTGTATAGCACTTTGGGCTTTCTTCGTAAAATCCGCTCGCGTCCGTGATGCTCAATTCCACGGCACGAGCATGCACAAACTTCCGGAGAGACTTGATCAAACAAAGTTTCTAACTAATCATCAAAACAAGTATCACCGGATAGTGACTAAGTTTTTAGCCAAACGCAAAACCGATCAACGTATTAACAGATCCGAAAAATTACAAGACGAGTTCGATAAACTTGATCTAGAATATTACAATCCACGACCCCGTTCCACAATAGATCCAGCGACGTCGAACGATAAGAAAAACCTCGAAATCCGAACAAACAAACGTCTCCTCACACACCGGCACATCTACTTCCAATAACTCCTCAAATCCGATGAAAAGATCACGTCCTTCAACTGGTTCCCCTAAGGACTCCCCAGTAGTAGGACTTATAGATACCATGTATTAATTTTATTTCTTTTATCTACTGCTTTAACTTAGTAATGAGTCTATATCCCCTTTTGACGTGTAGCATTTTAAATATTAGTATACATCAATGTATTCATTTTATTACAAACACAAACAATTTTGAATAGTGTGAACCACTCCACCTATGACAGTATTTTACAGGTGACGACCCAAAAGGTCGAAAGAAAAATACGGATCATTTTTTTATTTAATTGCTCGGTACACTTCCCTTTATTTTTACTTTAACTTCTAATTCCTTTGTTCGTTTACTGCTATAGCGACTATGTTTCCATTAGTCAGTTCGTTCTAACGAAGGGTGGGTCCGCCCGTTGGATTTTGTCTAGTTTAGCTGTGTACTCATAATGTGCCTTGTAGTCATAACGAATCTGTAACTAAACGATGTATTCACGACTTCTAAGTAAAAATAAAATAGAAATAAATAAATCTTCATAAAAATCCGCAGTAAGAAATTATGCACCATTGAAGAGAGTTTAAATTCTCTTTTAAGAATAAGATGATACTGAAAATTTTTTAAGTAGGTGATAATGGATATGCTACCCCGGTAAAACTCAGAGTAAGGTAAGAAAGATTATATTGTTAGATTTGGAGCACTATTTACCTCTACCAAGTTTTACCAAGTTACTTTTAGCAAGAAACAATAAAGAAGAAGGTAGCTGAAACTTTTTAGAAAGATTATGCTCAACGCAGATCAGTGCACCGGAAAAAATATGACCCGAAAAAAATTTTTTTTTATTGTAACTTCTACTTTTGGTTAAAAATTTCCTTTTTAGTAACTCATTCACGAATAAGGAAAAAGTCTAAAAAATAAATTTTCTAAAAAAAAATTTATAATTTTTTTCAGTAAAATAAATTTCTAAAATAACTAAATGGAAACTAAATTGAGCAATTTAAATATCTCAGATAAAGTTACTGATACAGTGAACAACGAAGATTGTTTATACTGTAATAAACCTTTTACTGAAGAGTTATGGTGTAAAGAATGTATCAGTTCCTTAGAAAAATTAGTAGAAAATGGTGATAAAGTAGCAATGTTTAATTTAGCCAATAAGTATAAAGATGGAGAAGGAACAGAAAAGAATTTAGAAAAAGCCTTTCATTTGTATCAAAAAGCAGCCAAAAAAAATCATACTGAAGCAATGTTTAATTTAGCCAAAAGGTATTATAATGGAGAAGGAACAGAAAAGAATTTAGAAAAAGCCTTTCATTGGTGTCAAAAAGCAGCAGAAAATGATCATATTAATGCAATGAATGATTTGGCTATTTATTATAATAATGGAAAAGGAACAGAAAAGAATTTAGAAAAAGCCTTTTATTGGTATCAAAAAGCAGCAGAAAATAGTAATGAAATAGCAATGTTTAATTTAGCCATATGTTATGAAAATGGAGAAGGAACAGAAACGAATTTAGAGAGAGCTTTTTATTGGTATCAAAAAGTAGCAGAAAATGGTAATGAAATTGCAATGTTTAACTTAGCCACATTTTATAATCGTGGAAAAGGAACAGAGAAGAATTTAGAAAAAGCCTTTTATTGGTATCAAAAAGTAGCAGAAAATGGTTTTAAAGAAGCAATGAATAGTTTAGCCATATGTTATGAAAATGGTGAAGGAATAGAAAAAAATTTAGAAAAAGCCTTTTATTGGTATCAAAAAGCGGCAGAAAATGGTTATACCGATGCAATGTTTAATATTGCTGTATGTTATGAAAATGGGGAAGGAGCAGAAAAGAATTTAGAAAAAGCCTTTTATTGGCATCAAAAAGCAGCAGAAAATGGTGATGAAGAAGCAATGAATAGTTTGGCCATATGTTATGAAGATGGGAAAGGAACAGAGAAGAATTTAGAAAAAGCCTTTTATTGGTATCAAAAAGTAACAGAAAGTGACAAAGTAAGCCCCATAACTGAAATTGAATTATGTAATGAATGTAACCAACCATATACTGATTACCAGTGGTGCCAACAATGTAACACAAAACGATTTCAACAAGATTTTTCAAAATGGACTAGTAAAAATGAATTTATTGATGAATTTATTCAAGAAGGACAACTAAATGCTAAAAATAGTTATGAAATTTTAGAGTGGATACCTTATAATAAATTGAAAAGTATTAATTATTATGATAAAGGGGGATTTAGTGAAATTCATAAAGCTATCTGGTTGGATGGACCTATTTATAGTTGGAATTTTTACAAAAAACAATGGAATAGATGTATTTTTCAAACAGGCTATGAGGTTATTCTTAAAATACTTAATAATTCATCAAGTTTAAATAGTAAATTTCTGGATGAGGTATAGTATTTATATTTAATAGAAATTTTATTTTTATTGCAAAAATTTAATTATTTTTATTATTTGTATAGTGGAAATATCATTATAATTGTCAAAAAAAATCATTTTCGAAATTTATTCAATTTTTTGGATTTACTCAAGATCCAAATAATTTAAATTATATAATAGTAATGAGTTACGCAAAAAAAGGAAGTTTGAGAAAATGTTTATCTGATATAATTAAGTTTAAATGGCAAGACAAGTTACAATTATTGAAAAAAATTATATTAGGACTTAAAGTAATTCATGAATCAAATTTAATTCATGGTGATTTACATGATGGTAATATTTTAATGTCAGATAATTACAATGAGTTATTTATTATTGATTTAGGATTATGTAAACCTATAAGTGATTTACAAGATTCTAATAATAAAATTAATGAAATTTATGGAGTTTTGCCTTATATGGCACCTGAAATATTGAGATTAAAACCCTATACACCAGCAAGTGATATTTATAGTTTTTCATTGATAATGTGGGAATTTACATCAGGTATTCCTCCATTTAAACATGAAGTACATGATCAATACCTTAGTTTGAGTATTTGTAAAGGAAAACGTCCTGAAATTATAAAAAATACTCCAAAATGTTATGTAAATTTAATGAAAAAATGTTGGGATTCAAATTCTTCCAATAGACCGACTATAATAATGCTTGAAAATATTATATCTGAATGGATTAGATGTATTAATAAATATTATAATATTAACAGAGAAGGAAATTATGAATATAAAGTATCTAATATTGATAATCAATTAGAAAATGATATGTTTGAATTTGTAGAAGCAAACAAAACTTTAGTACAAGAACAAGAAAATACTTTTATTATACAATCTCATCCACAAGCATATTATACAAGTCGCAAACTTACTGAAATTTTAGAGACTCAAGGTTTTGAATGTGTGATTGAAGATTAATAATTCTGCTATATATTCTTTATTTGTTGTATACTATTACAGTTCTTATAATAAGTATTTTAATGCAAGTATGATAAATTATTGGAATAGTATTTGTTTATTTTCCTATTTTTATTTAGAATTGCTTAGCATCTTGGTCTAGACCCCTTAACCTAGACCTTGTGGCACAGCTGATCATTATCAGCCATTTTCTTTCACTCTTTCTTACACTACTGACTACTCTTTCATTTAATCTTTTTTCTTTTATATTCTTCTTTTTTGCACAAATTATTTCCTTCTTTTTATATTAAATATTTTTTTATTACTGTTATTTTCATAATTATATATTAGGACAATAAAAAAAAAACCTTTTTATCAAAAATTTTTAAATCTGATAAATACAAAGTGTTCACGTTTAACACTTGCAATAGGTGAGTTTATTCTGAGTTTTGGATTAAAATTATTATGTATTGTTTGAAACTTCTTTCAACTAAAGTTTGTAATTTTACTAACATGTGTATTGTTTTAATACTTATATTTACAAAACGTCAATGGAAATTCGGGAAGTATTTTTCATTTTAATAATGGTATGTTTTTTTTTTAATACAAGGTTATTTTGTAAGTAGGGAATAAATGAAATATAATAAATAATTCTTTACCCGATTTTCAAATGTTTCTAATAGTTGGTTAGTTTATTATTATATCATTTTTTTTGTCATAAAAAATTCCTATCAGCTATAATAAAAAAAAAAATTAATTTAAAAATCTTTTGAAAATTTTCTGATAAATGTTATGCGCGTATTAGCGTATATTATAAAAAAAATTATGAAAATTTTTCTAAGATAAATATTACGCAAAATAAGTCTTGTTTTGGTAGCTGATTAAACCAATCATATTTAAGGAGGGTCTAGGATAAGAAGCCCGAATAGGATAAGGACGTTCTTTAAAAATTACATCATAATTTTGGCCCATATGTATTTAAATTATATCACGTGAATTTATAAATTTGTAATTCTGGCCGGCATCATAAATTTGGCCTGAATGAATTCCAAATGACTCAAATGACAAATGACCCAAAATGACTAGGCCGTTCGAAGGTCATTCAGGGGTCTGGCCTAATGACCTGGTCATTTACCATCACTGAATTTATTTAGTTGTTGACACCTGAAAAAAGGCGCAATAAGGAGTGAGGCGCAACCAATAAATTTTTGGCGAAATGGCAAGTCGGATAATTTTACAAGTCGGTAAAATGACATTTCGGTGAAATCGAATAGGTAAATTTTCATGTCAGTAAATGCAAATCAGCAAAATGGCGCCGATTAATTTCATGCTGGTGAATAGCTGTCTATAAATTGTACTGTAACCTTTATTTACTTCTGCAAAGAATTGATCATTTGTTGATGAAAAAAAATCCCATTTGACAAAAATTTACCATATATAGTTAAACGAAATGGTAATATTCAACATGCATTTTTTCATTGTATAATTGACGATCATCTTAAATAAAATGTGAAAGTTGATTTAAATGTCGAGCGATAATCGTATATGTAAATTATTTTTTTTTAAAAAAATATATATATATATATATATATATATAAATAACCAGAAAAAAAATTAAGTTAAGGGAGCTGAAGCAGCTGTTCGATAAGATGATTTTTAATCCACTCGAGAATTTCGAAATTAATGCTTTGTCACTTTTAAGTACAGTATTAATGATATATGTGGCATATTATTATTACAAATATTTTACTCGTGTCAATCCGTTACCTGGCCCCTTCCCATTCCCAATCATTGGCACTTTTCCTTATGCTGTTTGGTTTAAAGGGGATATTCCAAAGTTTTATAAATATTGTTACAAGAAATATGGTGACATATATGAGACTAACAATTTTTATCGATGTATAGTTTTATGTCGAGCAGAATATCTTGAAATTTTTTTATCAAAAAATATGTATTGGATGAGATGTCCAAATTACGAAGGATTAAAAGAATTGGGACTTGAAGGAAAAGAAATAGTATACAATAATAATTATAAGTCGTGGATATTTAATCATCATTTTTTTAATCAAGCTATATTATCACCAAAATTTACTAATGAAGTTATTGATTGGACAAACGAACTTTTCAGTGAATTAGAAAGTTATTGGGACAAGTTACTTCTTAAAGAAAAAATTAGTAAAGAAAATAAAATTAAATTGGATTTAATTGAATGGTTTAGTCATTACACAACTGACATGATTAATAAAATGTTAACTGGTAAAAGATCTTATTCAATGGCAGCTTATTTTAATACTATTAGTGATGAAAAATTTGATAATCAGTCAGCGAGAGTCGAAGATTCTGAGAAATTATTTCAATCAATTCACAAAATTCATATAGGATATTTTTTTTTTTTCATAGTTCCCCCCTTTCTTCGACATTATGTTCCGTTTTTTAAAAATATAGCAAATGATATACTTCAAAACATAGGTTTTGCCAATCAGAAACTGGATACAATTATTAAGAAACGTAGAAAAGAAATTGAAGATACATCACTGAATGAACCCTTACCTCATGATATGTTGACATCGATGATTATCAAAAATACATTTCGTGATGGTAATTATATCGAAACCGATGAAGGCAATAGGTCTATGACTGATAGTGAAATTCGCGTCAATTTATTTGATGGAATCTCCAATGGAACTAGTAAAGTAAATTTTTAGATCTTCTCATCATAAATGCAATATGCTTTAGCTCGAAGTTGTATTAACAATTCCTTTATTTTCATTTCAAATATAGATTGTTAATATGCTTTCATTCATTATCTATCATATTGCACATAATCCAAATGTGAAAAAGAAAATGCTAGAAGAAATTGATAGTATATTCCAAGGTAAAATGCGACCAATTACTAAAGATGATTTTTACAGTTTAAAATACTGTGAAGCAATTGTAAAAGAAGCAGTTCGCATTTTCCCAATTGTGCACTTGAATACAAGATATATTGATAAACCTAGCGAAATAGCAGGATATCAATGGCCAGCTGGAACATTCTTTATAATTAACGTTGGAGTTATTCATAATAAAGATGATTATTGGGAAGAACCTAATAAATTTAATCCTGATAGATGGATGGATGAAAATTTCGAGCCAAAGAAAAATTCTTTTATCATGTTTGGTGAAGGATTAAGATTATGTCCAGGAAGAAAATTAGCAATGATTGAATTAGTTTGTTTGATGGCTTTACTGTTTAGAAAATATGAAATTAATTTAGTAGATATGAATTCTCCTATTAAAACTAAAAGTGATGATATTGTAATTTCTTGTGTCAAATTATTAGTTAAAATTGAATTAAGAAATTGATTTTCTAATATATCATCTCTAAATAAATTTAATATTTTATATATCACAGCTGGCACGTAATGTATTATGTTACACAATTTTTTTATAACTGGATCAAGAGGTCATGTTTTTTAAAAGTTTGAAAATTATTGTGAAAAAAATGATTTCAATTTATAAATATGCAAAAAATTATTAAAAATATTTTAATAGTCTAAAAGATCGTGAACCTCATGTTGGTAAATAAATAATATGATGTTTTCCGTATTCACCCATTTTGCCGACACCTGTTTCACCGACATAAAATTTACGTCATTTTGCCCCTATGAAAAATTTAATTTTTCAGAAAAATGATCACATGTTTGAGAACTAGAAAAATGATTATTTATCGGAGTTTTTTTCAGAATTTTTTTTATAGGGTTGCCTACTTGGCATTTTATCGATATCACATTTTTTCGAAACCATTTTAACGAATTCCTATCTTGCTGACAAGCCATTTTGCAGACATGACCTTTGATTCATTTTACAGTATTAATAAGAAAGTAAGGAATATTTTCAATGATATAAATTTTTTTATGTTGAAATTAATTTATTATACAAATTTTAATAATTTCTATGGGGACGCTATTTAGAATGTTAGTGTAACATAAAAAGATATAAATATACCTTAAAATCCTTTACATTAGGGAGATTTTCGAATTAAAAATTTTCACATCATACTTTCACTGTTCGATTCTTTTTGGATGAAAAAGTGCCACATTAATTATTTTAATTAATGGCTTATTAAGAATTACTAATAAGGGGAAATTATCGCAATTTGATTTAAGGATTTATAATTAGTAGAAATAGTCTTAGAATTAGATTTATATTGAAATTATTCATTTTATTCTTTTATTTTATTATGAAACTCGGGATATATTAATATTTTATTTTATTTAATAAAGGAATATTTTTGTAGCTTGTGGTGGCAAACGTCTTTATGATGGGCCATAACGTTGCATTATGCAGTGAAACGTGGTATCTTCACGTGATCCTTTTATTTCATCGGCATCCCCTTCGTTCATCATGCGACATCAATATCCGCGATTACTATATAGGGATTACTATTTTACAAATCTTTTGTCGATACTTGCATAATCGATACCATACTCCTTAATTTAGTAATATTATTTTATTAATTATATATTAAAATAACAAATCATTTCTGTTGCCCAGGCTGAAAACATTGGTTACGTACAATTTACAGACAGCTATTTCACCGAAATGCAATTTTTCCGACATGTGAATTAGCCCGACAATTTATTAGCTACGCCTAACTCTTTACTGCACCTTAACTTCAAATTATTTCATGTGCCGAAATGCAAAAGAAGTTCAACAAACTGATTACAAAATGCATTCATAATGCAAGCAAGATTATATAGCACCGGTCTAATTATTCCTTTGTAATCTTTTCACTCTATTTTTTTTTTCAAGTAGAACGGGTTAGAAATTAGAAACAAAATACATCACCAATAAAACCACCAAATGAATCACAGTTCCGGACGCAGTACATTTAAACACTTCAAATTTTTATACACTTAAATTAAATATAATATTGCGCCCCAAAATTAATAATTTCACTAGGTAATTTCGACCTTTACAGTACAGAGCGGAAAAATTTCTCGAGGAGGACGAAGTGATAGATAAACAAAACATAAAGAAAAATATAGTCATTTATAATAAGCTCATTTTCGAAACCTCATTTTAGATGATGGCGTAATTTTTCAAGTTCATTTATTAGTGAATTCTTAAGTTTATTTTTAATTCTTAAGTTTATTTTTAAAAAAAAATAAAAATTAGAAAATAATATTTATTTCCAATTTTTTTATTTCAAATTTTTTATAAATAATAAATTCAAACAAAATTTTGTTATGTAATATTCTTATTGTATACCCGTGATTCCTTTTCTACATGTAATTGTACCAAACTAATTAACGTATTAAACACTCCATAACAATATACACTGCAAAAATTACATAGCCCACCCAAATCTTTTCAATACACATATTGACCACTTTCCAAAAGTGCCATAAAAGAGGTCCTCTTTATTCCATCAGGATATCCTCAAATTTTTGCCAAAGAGTTTCTTTATCTTTTAGATATAGTAACAGTAGGTTATTTTCGGATCAACACCATAAGAGCTCATCATGACATATTCTTTATCAGAGAATTCAATTCTCTATCTTTTATTTCAGAGATAAAATTTCGGGTTACAACCGGTTTGATTTTTGCAGGACATCCTGGACCATTATGCGACTATTTCGTTGAGGCACTAATTAAACGTTTGTAGTAAGTTTATTTCAATTATGAAATAACAAACGACATCATATTCAAACTTACTTGCAATTTTTTTGTATTTCTCTAAATCCAAACTTTTCCGTTATAATAGAATTCGCTACTGGAATTTACCACGTACGTCCAAAATTCAGGCTATAATAAAAGTAAGTTTTTTTTTTAGTAAAAATCTGATTCAATTTTTAATTTTAGTATAAACCAAAAAAAACTTACCTTCAATTTTTGCTTTTTATAAGGTGTTATGTTCGTACAACCCACGCTTTTCATCATCTTCCTCCAAGCATGTAACTTCCAGTTCTGACCTACACCGACTATGAACAAAAAAGTAAAAAATAAACTCAACCAAACGCGGCCCATTTCGAGCTCTCACGTAATGGTTGTGATTCTTTAGATAGTTCATAGTAAAGTAAAAAACAATTAACACTAAACATACCAGATCACCGGTTCTGACTAGGGATGGGCAAAATGCGGAAATTTCATTTTATCACGCGCATGATGCGCATGATGCGCATCATGCGCATCATGCACATGATACACATAGTACTGTTATACAGAAAAAAAAAAAATACGATTTCTTTACAAAAAAATAAAATTTTTTATTATTTATTTTACTGAATTATTAACAAGATACATCAGAGTCATCAGCTTCATTATCATTAAAACTCTCTTCGTTTTCACTACTACTATTTACATCTTCATCATAATCACTTTCTTCATTTTCGCCTGAACTTTGAATTTCGTCATCTACAACTCCCCCGTCTAACGAAGTATTTTTATCAAACCCGTTTGTAAACCCTTTCCATTCTGGCGTTTCTCGTGGCATTTGTAATCTATAATTGCTATAAATATACACTAATTTAAAGACACGATCAGCTCTCAACCGGTTTCGTTTTTTATCATGAATGTATGCAAATGCTGACCAATTTCTTTCAGACGCAGCAGATGATGTTGGAATAGATAAAACCTTTTTTGCTACTTGAGTAAGTTCAGGTGCAGAATCACTAAAATTTCCACTCCACCAAGTTATAGGATCAACATTATCAGAAGTTTCCCAAGCAAGTTTATTCGCAAAAACTCCAGTTTTTCTCCTATAATTCAAGATTTGTGTCCAAATAATTACTGCATTATCCGAATAATATTTTTGGATAAACTGCGAAATTCTATCCATTGAATTAGAAGTAAGATGGCAACCATGGAATGATGGATCAAGCAGATGCGCAACTTCCATAACAGGGTGGTAAATACTTTCCCACCTTTTTTTGATAATATTTTTAATACTCGTATTATTTCCGTTTATATCAAAAAAATAAACTTGAGAAATTAAATTTGATTAGTAATAATTTAGATTATATTTACCAAAGAAAAAAATGATATTTTACCTGATGATTCTAATTGATTGTAATACCAATCTAATACTTTAGATAAAAAAGGTGTATCCGATTCAAACATAGAAATTCCAATAACAAGTTCGTTGAGAACTTTGAGTAAATTATCAACATCTTTCCAAAACCCATCATTTAATACAATACTTCTCATATCATCATCAATTCTAACAGTTTGATTACGTGATAATTCTGTTACCGTTAATTCAATAGCAAGCTGATTTACTTGAAGTGAATTAAGGCAAATAGCTGATGATCCCCAACGTGTTTTTACAGGTAATTTAAGTGAAATTTGCTTATCATAACTGGATCTTTGATATCGTTTCAGAACTGCAGCTGGAATTTGATGTGATTTGAAATATTTAACGATTTTCTTTCCATTTTTTATAGTACTATCCGCCCAAGGGAGTTTCATAATATCACCAATTAGAAGATTTAAGGAATGAGCTACACAGCCAAGGAAAACTATGTTTGGATATTTAATAGCCAAAAGTTTCCATGCTTTCTTCATTGAAGATGCGTTATCAGTAATAATTGCTGAAAGTTTGGAATGATCAATCTGTGATATAACTTTATCAATGTCGGCTGCAATATTTTCTCCTGTTTGTTTGATTTCACCAGTTTGATGAGCAGAGAAAAATACTGGTCTTGGCGTGGTAATTAAATAATTTGTCCAATGTTCTTGCAACATATTTGACCTAAAAATATTTATACAAGATATTTATAATGAATATATAAATAATAGTTAAAAAAAATATATCACCTACCATCCATCAGAAATCAAACAAATATAATCAGTTGATTTAATCAAATTATTTATTTCATCTTTTGTATCCTCATATACCGTGTCAAGTAATGTTGTTGATAAAGCTTTTCGTGAGGGCAATTAAAAACAAGGACGAAGTTTTTGAAAAAGAATTTTAATTGGTTCTAGTTCAGATAATGATAAGAATAATCCACATCGGTAAACTGCTTGTGCAAATAATAGTTCAGCTTCATTTTGTTCTGCTGAAGTTATTTTGTCAACAAAATTATTTATTGATTTTTGCGGTTGTTTCTTAATAGTAACAATATTATTTTGCTCTGTTGGTAAATGGGAATTAATACGTTGTTTTGCACTAAGTTTAAAATCTGGCCCAAAAAATCCTTGGAGAACTGTTATACTTGCACTTGAACAGGTTTTTAAATGTGCAATACATTTGTTAGCAGCAGCATTTAGTTCATGATTACAGTATTTGCATTGTGCACGGGCTTGCCGAAAACCAGCCACATGTCCAAGTTTATTAAAGTGAGCCCAAATAGGGCTAGTTGGAGGCATTTTTGAACTGATTGAACGAAGAAAAAAATTTTTTTTTTGTGAAAGATCTAATGTAATACAAATTTATTATAAATTCCATTTTTGTTAATTTATAATTTTGGCCGGAGTTAGGGTGTAAAGTTTACCAGAATTACAACTTATAATTTATTACAAAATTTATCATGCGCATAATGCGCATTATGCGCAATGCATAATAGCAACACATAATGCGCATGGCACATCTCTAGTTCTGACCTACACAGACTATGAACAAAAAAGTAAAAAATAAACTCAACCAAACGCGGCCCATTTCGAGCTCTCACGTAATGGTTGTGATTCTTTAGATAGTTCATAACAAAGTAAAAAACAATTAACACTAAACATGCCATATCACCGGTTCTGACCTACACAGACTATGAACAAAAAAAAGTAAAAATAAACTCAACCAAACGCGGCCCATTTCGAGCTCTCACGTAATGGTTGTGATTCTTTAGAAAGTTCATAATAAAGTAAAAAACCATTAACGCTAAACATATCAAAAGTGAATACAAATCTCCACTTTCAAAACCTTTAAAGCCGTCTGGTCAGCGCGGTGTGCAGTCAAGGATTTTTTTTTTTGTTAAAGAGTTTACCATATAAGCCTTTTGTTGTTCGTATGGACTGTCCCGTCCCCCCTTTTTTTGTTATGAGAGTTTAGTTTTATCTATAAAAGACTTTTTTGTTCGTATGGACTGTTCCGGCATCTTTTTTTTGTTAGGAGAGTTTAGTTTTATCCATAAAAGCCTTTTATTGTATGGATCGTCCCGTTATCTTTTTTTTTTTTTTGTTAGAAGAGTTTAGAACTCGGTAGAGTTTTTTTATTAGGTAGTTGTTAGGAAGATGTCCCCTTTTTATATTATTTTTTCTTATCCCGTGATATAAGTCTATCAACCATGACGTCATCTTTACTATAATTTTAAATCATATGAAAAACCAGCAAATTTCCATATCGGTTAGTCTACAATCATCATTTTTTGCCTTAAATACAGCGGAGAGTCAAAACCTTAGCCATTAGCTGGACTGCTTAGGAATACAAATATGCATGATCGCATGATCAATTTAATCAATAATTACACAGCCCTCTCAGCCTCAAAAAAAAAAATTAAAATTCCGACCAAAAAAATCTTTTCAGATCAGGCGTAAAGGTATCACGTGTTTTCCTAAGGCTATTTATAATTTTATACAGAGTAAGCGATGACAATTTTTTTTGTTATATATATTTACATGCAAATATTATATAAATAATATGTAACTTACCTACAATCTAAAAGAAATTATCAAATAATTCAAATAATTTTATAAATTAATAATTTAGTTAGTTTAAATTAGTAGTCTCCCGTTACTTCGCACTGACATCAATGGTCTTGTTATAAAATCTATGAAAAATTTAAAATATATAAATATAAATTAAATTTCTTAACCATTTAATAATTGTAATAATTGTTGATAATAAACTTTTACCAAAATTATCACAAAATTTGCTTGAAATCTTTAAATGATGAAGATATTATGATATTACAATTTAAGTTGACAATGACCCTGACGTAAAATATTTCGTGCTCATATACTTATTTTAAATTATCGTTCCCCTTATTTACGAAGAGTTTTGTCAACAAATAAAAAGAGAAATGATGGAACTTTGGCGCACCAAATATTTCACCTGAAATTTTTAATGTGGTTTTAAGGTAAAAAAAAAAAGTAAATATATAAAATAAATATTTATAATCATTATACTTTATTAATTCAAAAGTGTTTATTTAGATATTTTTATGGAGGAAAATTATCTTTGGAAGAATATGAGGTTTCGATATCATCAAAATCTTAGTCACTGCTAATGAACTTAGCCTTCAAGAAATATTTCTTTATTTAGAAACCTTTTTGATTAAAAGAAAATCTGATTGAATGGAACAAAACTTTGATTTGATATATCGAACGAGTTTTGAAAATAATTCTTTTTTACATCTTCAAAATACTGCATTAATTTAATCACTAATCAATTGAATGAATTACAAGTCTGGGAACATGTGATTAATGGGGACTTGCTCAAAATATCCGACATTGAAAACTATTCAAAAGATGATTTCAATGAAATATCAGAACCTGGAATAGGATCAATAAGACCAAAAAATATTGATTCTACAATCATTACATTTCAACATGTTGAATTAATCTCAAAATGGATTGATAGGTTAGAGTACACGGACAAGATATGAATTTAAATTAATTTTTCGTGGATCTCGTGACGGATGTACGATTAAAAAATTCCATGAAATTTGTGATAACAAAGCCCGTACTGTTACATTTATTAAAGTTAAAGACGGTGATAAAATTTTGGGAAGATATAATCTGATTGAATGGAAATCTAATAATCTTTATGGTATTACTAAAGATGGTTTTATATTTCTTTTAGAAATAATAATTATAGTCGCGTAATAAATGAAAGGAGCGCTACACATAACTGTTGGAATTACGGTCCATCATTTGGAAATGGTGATTTGTGTTTATATGGGTTAAATATTAGTTGCACAAAATAGAAGTTTTATTGTAGAAGTTGAGTTTCGAATTGTATAGAATTAACGAAAAATTCATAATATTTAATTTTATAGTTTCTTTTTTCATATTTAGATTGAAATATTTATTTTTTATAATTTCAAAGGATAAATTTTATTGTATTTTTGATTAAAATACTTGCTATAATCTTTTATTAGACTGATATTAAACCAATAACTGTGGGTTGAACTGAAATGAATTTTCTCCAGTTATTAAAAATTTTATGATCGAAGTTTACATACGTGCATTTTTTTTTTCTCATTCACTTTATAAATCAAAAAATCATATGTTTCATTATAATCATACATAAATTATATTATTTTTTACGTTGATATTAAAGCAACTCATTCGAACTTCACTATTATTACTTGTTATCTAATTTCTTTCCATTTTAATAATATTACACTATTTTTTAATTACTTGAAATACTTCGTAATCTTCTATTGTAATTTGCTCTGGAATTTCTAAACTAGTGTAGTAATATGAAGGGCCATAATATTCCCAATTATTGACTATTTTACAAGTAAAATCACCCATTTGTGGTCCAAAATTATTACTACAATAAACAGCATAATCTTCATCATCAATGTAAGATAACTTTGTTGTAGTATTAGAAATATTTTTCCAATCTGCAAAACTGAATAAAAAGCTATCTCTAGTACTTTTCCAACAATCTCCATTCCAATCAAGTGGATTATAACCTCCAATTAATTTTGTAGAATTTTTGATTTTTGCTATCCAAATAGTAGGGCCTTTATATTTCCACAATAAATGAATCTACAAATGTAAATCAACACATTAATCATTAATAATTAATTTAAAAATTTTTTTTTTAAAAAAAATAAAAATAAAAAATAAAAATTATCGTAATAAAAGTTATACATGTATTACCTAAGAATAATATCAAATAAATGTGGTCGAATATTTGGTTTTCTTAAAATAAATTTCCCATCTTCTTTTTTAGCCCATTCATTAGAAAATGCAGAACGAAAATATTGAGATCTGGCGCATAAAATATTTGAATGAGCATGAATTTCTTTAACATTTGGTTCTTCTCCTGCATATATAATAATATAATAACATCATATCCTATTTCTGTTTCAAAAAGTTTTTCATAATCGTCGGATAACTCTTTCAAAAATTTCGAAGACATTTTCTTTTTTAAAAAGAAAAAATAAATATATAACGAGACGAGGGCGTAAATAACTTGCATAATTTATACTTAATGTAGATCAACTAGTACTTATTTGTTTGGTAATTGGTATCATTGTAACCTAATTCTTGGTTCTTGAATTAGAATCAAATCTTAATCTTTGTTAATATTCCTTTTGATTATGGAAAACCTTATAAAACTAAAAGGACATTGAAATTATGTTACTACGTTTAATTTTTTTTTTAAAAAATACGTTACCGTACTTTGTTCAGAAAGGATAATAAAAAATCTGCAAATGATTTACGATCGTTTGTTATGGTTACATTTGTAATTGATATTGACTTTTAGTTCCTTATACAAAAATATTTCGTGCTCAATTTTCTTATTTTATTTTTTATTTTACAGTTTTCAAAATTATAAAATTCGTAATAATCTTGGTTCAGTATAACGAGTTTTCAGTATATACAGGTTCGGTATAACCAATGGCAACTGTAGTCGTTATATCGAGTTCCGACTGTAATTAAAAAAAAGGACTAGAGAAATGTTTATAATTAACTTTTTAAGGAACAGCCCTGCAAAATCCATTTTTTGGAATGTGTCACATGTCAGAAACTATTTTTTCTTCACTAATTTCATTATTATATAAACATTTTAAAATATGTTGCAACTTTAAAATATAAAAAAATAGATATAGTAATCCGATGATTCCGAATATATTATATATTACGATATCTAAATTTGGAATTAATTCAAAGATTTTTATTTGAATAAAAAGAAAAAAAACTTTTAAAAAATTTTGATAACGACTGTAAAAAAAACAAAGTTATATTTGCAAGGTCATATACAGGATGCACGTGAAATATAAATAAATAAAAAAAGTAGTTAAAATCGAAAACATAATTGCTACTTCAATTTACAATGTAAAAATTAAAGGAAAAATAAGTCATGTCATTAAACTTTTAAAGTGTCTCTTTATTCTTGATAATTCTAACAAAAATAAATATTTGTTCTATCTATATACTATATATTCTAATATTCTATGTGTTTAGAATCATATACATATATTGTACGTATATAAATACATATAAATATTATATATAAATAAATAAAGATTCTAAAATTCTAAAAATAATAAATTAAATATTAATGGTTTTTTAATTATTAAAAATTAAGTTATCCGCAAAACTATAAAGGTTTATCATAACGTTTATAGTCCTCAAAATGCTGTTTCTAATCATAATACCAAAAGGCCCAAGTGGCATGGAAGTCTTAAATGTGGCTGCTCTTGATTTTAATACATCTGCAGATGTTCGCTTTAACATTTCTTTTTCATATTCTTCAATAAAAGAAATATTATTGTCCGTATATTTAAGTAATGCTTGAGAAAGTTTATCAGCGTCTTGAATAGCATTATTTGCTCCTAATCCTAATATAGGACTCATAGCATGAGCAGCATCTCCTAATAATACAACTCTGTCCATGATTTAATAGACATTGGATCAATATCTCGCATCATTCTTCGTTGTACAGGATTATAAGTTTTAAATGGAAAATTTATTGGATCATTCGGAATTGTTTTAGGTGCCAAGTCCCACAATTCTACCAATAATTCAGTCAATTTACAATCTGGTCTTAATGTTCGAATTAATCGTTTAACATGTTCTATGACTGATGCAGGATCATTATCATCAACTTTAACTTTATCAGATTCAACATCAACGTTATCCAATTCAGAGGGATAAGAATAAACTAATGTTGCCCTATAATGAGGTTCATTTTTCTCATCATTTTGTTTTTGTTTGATTGGTATTAAACGTGTCATCATGAGTGTTGAATCTCCTTCTGTTCCAAGAGTTTTACGGATCAAAACATTTCCATGGATTTTATTTACCTTATCCATAAGATGTTTAGGTACGGAAACATCTGCACTAACATGAGTTATTCCATAATTAACTATTTGTAATTCAGGTAATTTTTGTTTTCGTACTAATAGGAAATAAAAAAAAAATGTTTGTTGTTTAATTGAGAATAATTTAAATAATAGACATTATTTGAAAAATGCCTTATAACTTACTTGGAGAATTAATTCCATCTGCACCAACTAGAATACTACAGAATTCTTGTGAACCATCTTCAAAAAATACCCAAACTCCTTCTTGAGTTTCTACATATTTAATACATTTTTTATTCCATTGAACTGGTTACGATAAGTAATAATTGATGATAGACCACGAGATATTTTTGCGATTTCGTAAACATCTTTAAATGATTTAGTTGGAGGGGCAAGTAAAACATTTCCTATTTGATCAGTGATAGTTATTCCATGAGTTTCTACATCAGAAATTGGATTTGGCATTGCTTTTGGAAGATTTGAAGCGATCGAGGACGGAACACAGTTCAAAAGAGATTTAGCTCCGTAATTGGATAAGGCTATATGATATCCTTGCCATCGATCTAACACGTGATATTATGAGTTAGTTAAATTTAATGTTGTTAACGTCATATTTAACTAGAAATTAGAAATTTTTATACCTGTAGGACTAGATTCACGTTCATAGATTTTTACATTGAATACTTTTTTGTCCTTGTTCTTTATCAAAGCATGATAGAGAGAAAGTCCCCCTATACCTGCACCGACAATAATAATCGTTGGAATCTTTTCTTGTTGCATTCTCAATGAAATTATTATTTGTATAAAATTAAAAAAAAGAAATGTAGATAAAGAAGAATTGTTATGATATTTAAAATTGTTTAATTTTTCTAATGTATTTTAAATGTATTTTAAAATTGCTCTGAAAAAATCGAGACATTTTTTTAGTGGATTTATTTATAAGAAAAAAAAGTCATTGCCAAGAAACAAACGTTAACGTAACTTTTTAATACTGCTTAGATGATGAATTGACGTTTAAGTAAATTAAAATGTCGATCAAGCTTAATTTTTTATTATTGCCGATATTTATCCGATATTCCGTTATTTCTGTTTCACGAATGGAATTTCGATATTACTATATAAGTCACACTGCCAAGTCAAGTGTAACGTCCAATAGTTGCAATTAACTATTTTCTAGAAATATGACATCATTAGTTAATACGAAAATTTAATTTTTCGGAAAATTATTCACTGAAAAATTTTACCAAGAATTACACGAAATTTCTCTGTGTTAATGTATTGTAACTCAAATGAATCTTATCATTTAGTTGATTATTTACGAAAAAATTAACTATATTTACCAATTTATTAATTCTATTTGTTATAAACAATAAAAAGTAATTATTTTTTTTAAAAAAAAGAAAATTCCGAACTAATCTGTTATAATATATTTGAACTAACTCCGTTACTCGTTATAATCATGTTATTATAGTCAGAACTCGATATAACGAACCCTCCTCTGTTCAGCCGATTTTGGGTCGTTATAACGAATATTCGATAAATCAAATATTTTTATTATACCGATTTATATATTAAAAAGTATGTATAGTAAATTCGGTATATCTAAAAAAATATATTATAAAATCATATTTTTATATCACTTTAGAGTTTAGAATATGTTTATACTATCAATACAATGTTATCATACAGAAATTTGTACCGAAATTGAGACTCATAGTCATAGATATCGCGAATAAATAAATATGGATTTATGATTAACTTCGCTATATATAATATCGCGAAATTTATAATAAGGTCGGTATATAGTGATAAATTAATTATAGATGGTTTTTGTTTAAGAAAAAAGTTCGCTGTGGGCCAAAATCGGTTTATCTCGAATCGTTATATCGAGCTATGACTATAATATCAATCATATAAAGTATATTACAATTTCATAATCCACATTCTAAACTAGTTCATGTCCTACAGCGATGGAACTCATGTGATAAGTATATAATCAGAGATACCAAGTGTAATAAAAACACCCATATGTACAGTATATCTAAGTGACTATATAAAGCCGCATAAACAACTGCCCATCGACCCACAGTAACCAGGCATATAAAATGTCCTACACAAACAAAACTAAATACCTAGAAAAAACACTGAACCTGACTACGAAGCTGCAAGTTCCTGCCGTGAGAAAACCTAGATGAAAAAAAAAAAACCTACGAAAGGAAAAAAAGAAAAAAAAAATATAAAAAAACAACTAAAAATCAACTAAAAACTACATCATTGTCAATAACAAAATTCAATATTTCCGCTAATTTATCTTGTTTGTTATTGGAAGGTCCTCCTTGCTTAAATAAATCTAAATTAGTTTGTGTTTGTCCTATTAGCCGTATTTTGTTCACGTGATCTCACTGGACTATATTGTTTCAAAATTAATCCCTTATTTGATTAAAAGTTTTGAGAAAAAAAAAACTCTTTCCGATAAACCCAATTTTTACTAAAATGGCGCAGTAAAATATTTTTATTATTACAAAATAGACGTTTTTTTTACACTTTTTTTTCGCTTGCTAATACTTTTCTTTATCTTACAACAACTCGCGAATATTCTCAAGTCACTCCATATCTTTTAGTATATACATATGGTAAAAGTTTTACTTTTAATAGAATTATACAGTCAATAGACAACGTCATATATACCCCCTTACGTAATATTCAACCTTGCAGTTATAGTAGAGTTTTTTCTTTATTCCTACTGTCGCTTAAATATACCATTTATTTTCACGTTTACATACATTTTTACTATCCTTTATTATAATAAATATTATACACTATACATATGTCTTCCGAAAATATTTTTCCTTCGGAAAAAATTTTATCGAAAACTCCCCTACAGGTGTCCCTGAAAAAATTTCACGTGATCAAACCAAATCGATCAGGTTTTAACAAGATATATGAAATACGCCGATCTAGGAGTTTCTTTTTTGAGCTCGCTGATCGTTCCCCGAACACCAATAATATTCATTTAAAAATATACACAAATGATTATCAGATGAACACTAAACCTATTAGTTATAGTAACACGAGTTCATTCCCGAATGACAAATACCAAATTAGTTGCATGCTCACACATTTTTTTTCTTTACAAAGAGTTATACCCCGTCGTGTACAACAAAAATATTTCAATTTAATTCGCAATAAATTATTGGATAGAAGAAAAATTATTGAATCACGTGCTTCTTTGATGGCAAAAAAGAACACGATGACGAAAACTTTTTTTAATTTTAGTTACAAAAGATATCGTTTTTATTTTGGAATTTATATCCCTTGTTCATTCAAAAACAATTCTGATAACCCCTATACACCTCCCTTATGTCGAATCCCTAGTCCTTTTATTATGTCACATGATCGATGTGCTTGCATCAATCATCAACAAAATTTAGCTAAACACCATTTTTACAAGAATATCAAACCAAAAAATAATATACTTAAAAAACAAACAAATGAAGATTTTATTAACAATAAATCTTCTCATGCTAACCTTTTATATCACAGATGGCTTTCTAGTCAGCCTAAACATCATTACTCCAAAAGAACGGGCGTTTCTTACATCAGCTCAATCCACGCTCGGGATGCTAATTCAATCCTTAAATTGGGCAGTAAACATATGTACAGAAAAGTCTTTTCCAACTTTCAACGGATTTTTAGTCCTAATCTCTGTACTCAACAAAAACAAGAAAAAAGATTTACTCGTGCTTGTCGGCTCGTTCTTGGTAAAGCTATAGGAGACTATCACCAAGCTATATTAGCAACAGCTAGAAAACACAAGTTTATATTCTTAAAAAATCAGTACATTAAATTCCCCATTCGACATTTAGTATATAAGAAAAGTTTTATCGAACCGAATCCTGAGGACTATCCATTTTTGGTTCCATTTTACGCTAAACGACACCTCAATGAAAATAAAACTTGGAAGAATATCAACACCTTATCGAAACATTTAAACCCACCTACACCGTCTAAAATCACACCAAAACCTCCTGATGTTACCGAACCGTTCAACCCTATTCCTAACATGTTTATTCCTAAAAAATACCGTGATATTATACCCAAAGATCCCATTTACGTTAACAATTGCTTTATTACTCCAGGTTCTCGTGAATGGTTCACATATATGTATAATCTGGAAAAATCTATCGATGAACAAGCTGAACAAGAATTTAATGAACGTGTACATCAAGAAGTAACACAAGCATTTGAGAGATCACACATAAAAAGCAAGAAAGGAGAACAAAAGAAATAGAGGAACGCAAACAATAGGCGATACACCTTGGTACTAGTGTCAAGTACCTGGACGCTCGTAAATCACAAGTTGATTTCTTAATGTACTCAACAGACGAATTCCACAAATATATCCCCAATTATTTAACAAAAAGAAAGGAGCGTATCGACACGGGTCGATCAACTAAATTTCTCAAACGAGACCTGAAGAAATTTCTTAAAGATTACAAAATTAGACGAGAAACTACTATTTTCGTCCCTTCATACAAACCCCTGGTTGTCTCGGATGATACCGCAGCCTTAGAATCCCGTCCTTACAAACGCAACATCAATGATAATAGGATATCTTTTTCCTCACCTATAGACACACCATCGAAACGTTCCCGCCCTGCTCCATATATTGATTATGACTCTGAAGAAGCGGGACCGTCAAATTCAAAATAGTTTATTTTATATTTAATTTTTTAGTTAGAGTCAAATTACCCTTTTTCGAGTAGTTAAATCTACATTTTTTTTTACATTTATTCATTTATATATATTGATTTTTACAAACAACTTAAAATAGTGTGAACCATTCCACCTCTTACAGTATTTACAGGTGGCGGCCTTGGCCGAAAGAAAAATACGGATCTTTAATTTTTACTTTTTAGATTGACAATTTTAGTTAGGACAAATTTTATTTACTTTTATTTTATAGGTCTCTTTATCTTTCGGATGGGCGGGTTTCACTTTTTATTTTTCTTTTTTCCCATTTGAAAGGTTAGCGTAGTCCTAGCTTTTTGAATAGATAGTCCGAAGGGTGAGGTCCTGTAGGGGATTAACGTCCAAAATTCTATACACGTATATTAGTTGTAGAACATGTAAATGTTGTCTTTCTTTTATTTGTAATAGTTTTGGAGTACTACTCTTCTAGTAATAAAATAAAATAAAAATTGATTAAAAGTTTGTCGACAAAAAATGTCAGAGGAAGACCCCCCGAAATATATATGTAGGGGTAAGGTGCATAATTACGTCGCCAGCATAGAGAAATTTTATGGGGACCCAGAAATATATATACAGGGGTAGGATACACAGATGCGTCGCCATCATAGTGAAATTAGAGTAAAGTTTTGATTTGCGTACAATCTAAGAATTTTTCATCCATAGTTAGGTCATCAAGATTACGTATTTTTTATCGAAATTTTATATGTAAAAAATTAGTTTGCGTATTTTTGGCTTAAATTTGGCTAATCTTATATATTTACTGTACGTTAACCGCTAGTATTAATTGAAAGAAATTTCTAAGGATTAAAAAGTAAAATTTTGGAAAATATTACTGAAAAAATGGCAAATTAGAATAAATTCTATTTTTTTTCACATTAGTATTTGGTTTTATAAATAATATAGAAGTCATGATAAAATAATTAATAACTTAATGTCTGAAATTTTATTTGCAGGATTTTCAATATCAGGTGTCAATTATGCGTACTACCCATATATAAAAAGTCTCTGCATACAGCTCATAGTAAAAAAAATTTTCGCCACCTGACCCTTATACATATATTTCTGGGTATTGATTTACGTACAACCTGGGGATTTTTTTGCCACGGTCAGACCATTAAATTGTTTAAGTAAGGGTTTATTTTGCGTATTTTAGTAGTTTGGCTGATCATATATATACTGTATATATTTTATATATATATATTTCATTGAGATAAATAAAAATAAATATATATATTTTTTATATATATATTTCATTGAGATAAATAAAATAAATATAAATAACTATTAGTGCAAAAAATATGTAGCACTTTACTTAATGCAAAAAAATGTGTAATGCTTGTACATTTAATAAATACATTTATATAATATATATAAAGTTATTAAAATTTTTAAAAAAATTATTCTTCGATAAGCGTTAACAGTTAAGTTTGATCAACAAAAACAATAGGTAAATCACATGATGATCGGTGGTTAGAAAATTAATTTGCGCATTTTTTCCAGTAACTTATAGAAAACCCTTGCGTACAGCTATTAGTAAAAAGTTCGAAGGCCCACCTTACCTTTTTATATATATTTCGGGGTCCCGTCAGAGGTCATCTTCGATATAATACATTTAATATTTTCTTCTTCGATGTTGATGTCACGTTATAATCTAAAGTCTTATTATTTGTATAAGTGTGATAATAAATTGTGCAAACGATTGGATCAACGTGTACCTTACTCTAAAATGGAAAGATTTAATTTTTTTTATAAGCTGACGATGTCATTTGTCTGATCTTCAAAATTGCGCATGAGTTTGCCACGTTTGCCACGTTCACTGATTATACTGATTACCACAAAACGTGGGATTAAAAATTTAACGAAAAAAAAAAAAATTCTAAAAAAGGTAATAAAGTAAATTTATAAAAGGTTAAAACAAATGAGTTTTTATAATTTAGAATGAAATATCTAAAATGGAACTCCTAATTTAACATAATTTATTTTAAAGTTAGTACATATTAATAAGGAATCTGAATAAAGTAGTTAAACCTTCGTAATATAATTTTTTTTCAAGAATAGAGAAAGGATCAAGTCATTTAATACTCTTAAAAATCTCTTTATTTTAGTATATATGACACGAAGGTAAAATAAATTTTTTTTTTGTATCTTCCGAGTTCCGAACCTAAAGTAAAATATTTTTTTACACGAAAAGGTGCGGCTTTTACTGCGCCATTTTACAAAACGAAGAGGAAAGAAAAGATTCCATTTTCAAACGATCTTATTATTTATTACTATGTAAGTTCAAAACGTACTCACGTGTTCACGTGTCAAAACATTGAAATTTACACATCAGCCCACATCGGTAGATCCTTATAAAGATCAGCTTTATTGAATTCCCCTACTTTTGGGAAACCGGGATGATGATTTATTTCATTCGTGAAGGGAATGTTTTTTCAAATGTCAGAGTGTACAAAATAATTTGCAGATCGCTTGATATAACAAAATTTATAAATATACCCGAAAAAAATAGTGAAGTTGAAAGTTAGATGAAATAGAATAAAAAAAAAACACAAAAATATATGAAGGAGCTGTTCAACGAAAAAAAAAGAGACAAAATAGACAAAATAAAGAAGGGATAAGATAGATAAAAAAAAAATAAATAAAATAGAAAAGAAATAAATTTGATTAGATAAGATGATTAATGACTTTATTTTTTTATTAAGTACAATGCTAGTGACATTTGTGGCACATTATTATTATACGTATTTTACTCGTGTCAATCCTTTACCCGGTCCATTCCCATTACCATTCATCGGTAACTTGCCTCAAATTTATTGGTGGTTTAATGGAAATGGCTCAATGTTTTACGATTATTGTTACGAGAAATATGGTGACGTACATGAGATCTATAACGGTATGGAACGAACAATTGTTTTATGTCGATCAGAATGTCTTGAAGATTTTATGTCAAAAAATACGCATGAGATGAGATTTCACAATAGCAAAGGATTAGAAGAATTGGGAATTGCAGGAAAAGGAATAACGTTTAATAATAATTTCAAATCGTGGATATTTAATCGACATGTTTTTAATCAAGCTATTTTGTCACCGGAATTTACTAATGAAGCTATTGGTTGGACAAACAAACTTTTCAATGAATTAGAAAATTATTGGAATAAGTTATTTCTTAAAGGAGAAATTATTAAAGAAAATAAAAATAGATTGAATTTACCTGAATGGTTTAATCATTACACAAATGACATGATTATTAGAATGTTAACTGGTGAAAAATCTTATTCAATGGTAGCTTATTTTGATACTCTCAGTAACGAAAAATCTCTTTATCCACCAATAATAGTAGAAGATTCTGTGAGATTATTCCAATCACTTCGTAAAGTTCTTATGGGATATTCAATATTTTTCTTGATTCCTCCCTTCTTACGAAATTTTGTTCCGTTTCTTAAAAATATATCAGATGATGTACTTCAAAACATGGGATTTATTAATCAAAGACTGGATGCAATCATTAAGAAACGTAGGCGTGGAATTGAAAATACACCATTGGATAAACCCTTACCGCATGATATGTTGACGACGTTGATTATCAAAAATACATTTCGTGATGTTAATTATATTGGAAATGATGGAGCCAGTAGATTTATGACTGATTCTGAAATTCGCGTTAATTTATTTGATGGAATTTTTAATGGAACTTGTAAAGTAAATTTTGGTTTATTTTACGCTTATAATTTCAACTTAAAATAATATTAATCATTCCTTTTTTTTATTTCAAATACAGACTTCGAATATGCTTTCATTAATTGTCTATTATATTGTACATAATCCGGATGTGAAAAGGAAAATGCTAGAAGAAATTGATAGTATATTTCAAGGTAATAAAAAACGATCAATCACTAAAGATGACTATTATAGTTTAAGTTACTGTGAAGCTATTGTAAAAGAGGTAGCTCGCGTTTTCCCGATAATGCACTCGTTCACAAGATATATTGATAAACCCAATGAAATAGCAGGGTATCAATGGCCAGCTGATACATTGTTTATAATTAATGTTAAAGCCATTCATAATAATGATGATTATTGGGAAGAACCTAATAAATTTAATCCTGATAGATGGATGGTTGAAAATTTTGAGCCAAAAAAGAATTCTTTTATCATGTTTGGTGGAGGATTAAGATTATGTCCGGGAAGAAAGTTGGTAATGATAGAATTAGTTTGTTTGATGGCTTTATTGTTTAGGAAATATGAAATTAATTTAGTAGATATGAGTACTCCTATTAAAACTAAAACTTCGTATGATAGCATTAAAATTTCTGAATTATTAGTTGAAATTAAGCCAAGAAATTGATTTTCTTATATTAAATATATTATTATTTTAAAAATTAAATAAAGAAATTGAATTTCTTATGTATTATTTATATAATTTAGGGAACTTTTACTACTGATTTTCACGTCTGAAAAATAAGTGATGGAGATTTTTTGACAAAAAAAATGTTAGCAAAAGAGTTAAAAATGGAGACCTTTCATGATAAAAGTAGTAGCACGACTAGTATGTTTAAGGTCATTTCCTTGTTGCAGTCGCCATCTACCTCGCACATTTTTAGAATATGTTTTTCTAATATTTCTGTATGGAACTATTGCTTATTCATTATACGTCTAAAATAAAAGAGACTGGCATGGGACGAATTAGTCTTGCATTTTTATACCAATGCTTTATAGTGTTACGGTATAATTGGAAAGCTATATTTTATGTATTTTTTGCAAAATAAACAAACATTATTTTTTTAAAATAATTTTATAAAATTAAATAAGATTTTATTTGAAAATATAGATGATTTCAAAGACGCAGATAAGAATCACTGGTTTTCCTATTTTCACTTTTGTTTAATTGAACTTTTCTTTTAAAGTTTATCTATTAAAGTAAAATCTTACTAGTAATTATTTGATTTGATTTTTTTTTAAAAGATACTTTTTATTGCTAAGGTGAAACCCTGTAGTGAAACCTATCTCAATATGAAAAATAAAAACCCGCAGAGGGTTGCACTTCTTTCTAATTTCTTTATTCTATTAATTACTATTATGTTACTAAATTAATCATTTTCACAAGTTTTAAATTTATTTACGTCTATCATTTTTACCATTTTATTATGTTTTTTGCATATCTTTTTTTTTTTCGTCTATCATTTTATTGCTATTATGTTCATCATTTATTTACCCCATGCATATCACTTTTTTTTTCAATATACATTAACTACCATCTGGTCCATGCGTGGATAAACTAGCTGTGGATCTAATGTCCTTCATCCAATAATTATAATATATTAATGAGGAAAACGGAAACCGTTAACTGTTAAAGTCCATCGCTAATACAATATAAAAATCATAATTAAGGAAGTGATCGACAAATATATTTTTTAAAATTCTAACACATAAAGCTTGAAGCTTGAAGGTATAAGCGTATTCTAAACTTAAAATAAGCATATAAGCATATATAATGTTAATAGTGTTGCTTGCCGTAAATAACAATTACGCATTTTGGAGGGTCGTAGTCCTAATTTCGGATTTACGGCTCGAAATTACGACACATGCTTAATTTCGGCCAAATTCATAATACCGGGTCAATCTTCGCGTTGTGTTACACAATTATATAAGTTACGTGACATGTATTAATTACAATATGTCGGACGAAAATACGGCACAACCTTTACAAAGTAAGCAAATATTACGGCAGATGATGCCAATGTTAACTATATTTGGCATTCGACTAACCGTATGTTGAATTTCTTAGTTAGTATTTTGATCATCAAATTAAATTAAGACGATACGATAATTATAGGCAATATCAGCTAGCTATAAAATTTGTATATTGTGAGATTTTTATTGTATTTAAAAACCGCAGTAAACTATACAGAATCGCACGAGATAATCATTAGAATATTTCAGTTACACTTAATAATATTATAAATACAATAGTTCATGGCAATCGGTATGAGTGCTTGGTAGGGATGGAATCAGTTCAAAATGAGTCGACTCGAGTCGATTTTGGAACCGATCTTAAATTTAAAAGATTCTGAATCTCTTAGGCTTAAAACTACTTTTAACCATAAAAACCGTTCTGAACTTCAAACCGATTTCGAACCGACTTCAAGAACTGACTCAAATTAGGTCATCTGATGATCACACCAACTATCATTTGAAGGTCAATCAAAATTTTTCTGATTGATCATCATCACATGCTTTACTTGTGTCTTGCACGGTTGCTTTTTGTCTATCTAAAGAAGTTAGCTCGCTCTACATGACTGAATTTTTTTCTTAGAGATCTTCAGCATTTTATCTATTATTATATGCTAATTAGTATATTTAAAAATGTTTCACATTATTATTGAAACGTGTACTTACTTTCAAATTTTTACAGCAAGTCTATAGATAGGTTAAGAACAAGGTCACGTTCAGATACCTATTTCACCTTTTAATATAAAAGAATTTGGTTTTGAACATCATATTTTGCAAATATTTTCTTTTAAGAAGAAATATCAACCCATTTTTAAAATCTTTGAAAAAATGAACGTAATTACCTTGCAATAGTTTTTAAGAATAGTATCCAACCAAAGAAAGAATAATAATAAATATGATGTTCGTGGGAATTTTGGGTTTTTTTATAGTAAAGTAAAATAATTAATAAAGAATTTGATGAATTTGATCAATTTTAAGTTTCGTGTAACAATAAGCCTCCAATATACAAATTTTTATAGCTAGCTGATATACTTTTGATCTAATTAGTCGGTGTGACATCCTAGCACTTTTCGGTAATTAAATATCACGTGAACGCAACAGCCGCACTTATACTATCGGTCATATAAAAAAATATAACGAAACTTTTTCTCTTCGTACTTTCTTTACCAGCTTCCGCTAATTATTTTTTCGATGGATTTAATAATTCTATATTGTCGAATAGAGTTTTGTTTTAAACAGACTTTTGGAGTTTAATAAGTAATGACTAATTGTTGTAAGTTAGTTTCTATTATAAATTAATTTTAGGCTTTGAACCTTCTTGGCAAGTTTTGTTAGAGGTTCGTTCACTTTTTTTTATATTAGGAGCAATGGCGATTGATTTAAATGAAAATTAGAGCTAAAAGGAGATGAAAGTTTTCCTCTATTAGGATACTTAATAAATATTAGACTATCGTTATCCATGATTTGTGTAATTTTTCCTGCGTAGTTCTTTTTTTTTCATCACCTCAATTTTTTATCTCAGTTTGTCATTAATTTTTTCATTCTCTATCATTGTGCTGTTAACTCTTTTACAATTGTTCATTCTTAAAAAGATTTTGGCGTACATAATTTTTTATAAGTTATATCAATAATGGTTTTAAATTAAATTTTCCAATAAAGGGGTTTTCATTTTATAATCGTTATAACTTTGTCATTTTACATTCTTTTTTCAGAATAGTCGTTTATGTGGGAAGTTTAAAAATATTGTCGAGAATTAAAAAAAACCATGGGGTGGGGAAGCATACTTGATTTATTTCTTAAGTGAGTTGCCATCCTTGCTGTTGGGCTGTCTGTTATTTGTCTTTTCGTGCCGTGCTAAAGATTTTCTTTGTGTTCCTAACTCTCCAAATGTACTTCAGTTTCCAGACAATCTTCAATTATTGATTTTTCAATCGCTATTTGCATACAATTTCAATGAAAAAGTAACGTGTAAAATATATCAAAAAGGATTTGTTATTCTGATGAGTTTTTCGTTTTATTCTTTACCCGGTAATGTTAATGCATTAGAAGTTGGTACTTCATTTTTGTCTTTATGTATTTTAATGAACCGTTCTAACAGTTTTGTATTTTCCTTTTTAGAAGACATGTTTTTTAAATTTTGGTGCGTAAAGAAATATCATTCAAGACAAATGAAAAGAAGGATTGATCACTTACAATTTCTAGGAAAAGTCAAAAAGAAGGCGATTAATAGAACTGAAAATGCAAAAAAAAAAATACTATGCAATTGAATTTGCAGAGAGGTAATGACTCCAAGGACTATGTTTGGATGAAATAATTTTTTCCTAACGCTCCTCATCTATTTGCTTTTACCATTATAAAGGTTATGAGGGTTTCGATCCGGATAGAAACCAAAATCCGGATAAGGATATATATATTACAGCTGATTTCATAATGTACGGGACACTTAACAAGTTTTAAAGAACTTGGAGGATCCAGAAATATATATAGGGTCAGGTGATGAAAAAATTTTTTACTATGAGCTGTACACATTTTTTCAGGGCCGAAATTATGATAATGTCAGTCGATTACTATATTAGGAAATAAAATTTTGACTGGTATTATCAAAAAATTATGATTTTTTAGTTCAAAATACGCAAACTATATTTCTGGGTCCTGAACTCGGAATATTCGGTAAAGCTTGATATAAAATAAAAATTATACGCTAATTTTAGAGTACTATTCCGAGAATGGTGGTATAATTTATTTTATCTTATTTTGAGCTTTGCCGAATATTTCCGAGTTCTCTAAGTTTCTCGTAAATTATGAAATCAGCTGTAATTCTTTTTTGTAGACCGGTCTCAGTAAATAAAAATTCATGGCAACTTTGTTATTTTAAAAATTATATATATATAACGTGTCGGCCGGTACTATGAATTTTGCTTGAATTATATTAGTAGTTTCAATTTTATGAAAACTCGAAAAAAATGTAAATTTTTTTGGCACTTGCACACTAAATATATTATTATAATATAAAAATTTTTTTTTAAAAAAAAACATGAAAATGAAAGATAAGACATATAAGAATTATACAAAAAGACAATAATATCGATTTCTCAAAATTGCTGCGCCACAATTACGTACATAAATTCGATTTAAATATATATATTTTTTTTATTTTATTATCCGGATTTCGGATCAATCCGGATATTTTTAACCGGAATTTATCTCGCGACCATCTGGATATTCAAAAAAAAATTATCAGGGTCCGGTTGAATCCGGTTATTGGATGAAACACTACTAGCTGCTAGGTTGAGAGAGATTTATTGATTTGTTCGATCAACTAACACAAAAGAATGATTCCAAAACAATTGATAAATTGATGAAAGTAAAAGCTAACAACTTTAGACTACCTCAAAAACTGTGAAAATGCAAGGGGTATGATTTATTGTAAGTGTAATGTGTCTTAAGATTTAAGACACTAATACGAAAAAGGTTTTCATTTGAGTTTTTTTGAAACCATTTTTTAAGCTGTGTCAATCAAATTACTAGTAAGTCGAGATTTTCAGGAGATAAAAGGGCTTTTTTTTTCTTTTAATTTGTTTCTTTAATAAAATGTTTTCCAACATTTCATTTTTTTTCTTTTTTTTTTAGACGGTTAATTTACAATAAAAATAACTATTTTAATATATTTTTTATATATAACAAAAACATATTTAGTATTCAACATATTCTAAAAACATTTTGATCTTATATTTCCAGCATATGTTTGACACATAATTCTAATATTAAGTTACAATATATTTAACAGAGATACATGCAATATCTGATATTTCAATCAACTACTGTATATAACGAGTTCGCCTATATCGAACTCGAACTAAACATCCTGGAACAGAGGGTAGGGTTTGATATATCCAGTGACGACTGTAAATTGAGTGATTTTAACATATAATTTTACTGTCATTTATAAATATATTATTATTATTATTTTCTTTTTATTTATACCTGTTACAAAAATGATATATTTTAAACTTATTTATTATTTCAGTTAATAAAATATGAGATTTTCCTTTAGTAAATAGCAAAAAAAAAACTATAAAAATCTATTGCTAAATAATAAAAGATTTAATGATTTAATTTATACTTATAATTAATTTACCAAATTCTAACTGTTAACGAATTATCACTAGATTTAAATGATCGATGAATAGTGCAAATATGAGTTGTTAATTAAACCATTATAAGCCTCGTTCAAGTCTATATTAAAGATAAGATAAAAAAAAAGATCAATAATTTAAATAAATCACTTACCGAATTACCGCCCAAAGAAAATTTGTAAGTTTGTGTAATATATCTAGATTCTAATAATAAAAATGATATTATTTAATTATTCAATTATTTCCCAAAAATAGATTGTAATTTCATCTGCTTGTATTGGAGATAAGATACTGGTCCTATGATAATTTTGATAAATCTTATTAACATAAAATATTATATTTTCAGAAAAAATTCGTTTTAAAATATATTTCAAAATAGATAAACTTACCATCTATAAAGTAAAATATACATCCAAAAGTTAAAGTTTTAAATGTTTTAATAATTGTAATTAGTAAATAATTTAATAATTTGATAATTAAGATACAATATACTCCCTTTAAAATGTAACATGAAAAATATATCTTAAATGTTAAAGTTTTGATATTTAGCAGTAAACAATAATTAGCAAATAATAATAATTAAGATATAAATAAACTTACCATCTAGGGGTATAATATGAAAATTTTTCCAAAAGTTTTCCTAAAAGATGGAACTTACTGTTTGTTTCAAAATTTATTTTTTTGGTCATTTCGGCAAAAAAGTAAGTGACGTGAGTCATAAAAGGGACTGAAACTTGATTTTTTTTCGCTACAATAACTTAGATTGAACTCGTCTAAAAATTCCTTTCCAAGAAATTTATTACTCATTCAAAATCTAATTTATTTTTTCAATAAAATATAATTTAGAATATGTAATTAATTTTTCATTTCAAATTTTCTATATCAAAAAAAGAAATATTGAGAAAATATAAAATAAATTCTTATCGTTATGTCTGAACAGAAATCGACAAACAAAACATCAAATTTAACGATCAATTTAAACTAAAGACAAGAATTTTAAAATGGATAAAATTCGCATAATTTCGAATATCTGCTCGTAATAAATAACTTAAGAAATAAAAGATTTAATAAGACAATTACGTTGTTTTTTTTATAAGTTTAAATAAACTCGATTTCAACATTAAATGATTGGTATAGAAATTTACTTTTTGGAAACCCGTGTTTGAACACCCGGTGTTGCAGAACTTGTGCCCGTCATAAAGACGTTTGCCACCACAAGCTACAAAAACATTTTATTAATTTTGATAAAAGTTAAAACAATTCCCGAGTTTCATAACAATATGTAAAATCAAATATTAAAATGAAAAATTCAAGAAAGAAAGGTAAATTCTAAATTTTCTACTTTTCTGATTGAATGTAATACTTTTAAAAAGAAATAAAGAACCAATTAAATTAATAATTTCTTTTTCTAGATCTCATAAATTATTCGTTCATGTTCGTCAACGATTATGTAGATCATTTCCAGGGTTATCTTGAAATCTCGAATAGCCCGATCCCAAATAAAAGTAATTAACCAATAAAAAATCTAATAACTATTAATCTAATAAAAATCAACGAATAGTTTAACGTCATTACGGACGCTAATCCCCTAAAAAATATAAAATAAAATATAAAATAAAATAAAGTAAATAGAGGTACAAACTTTACCGACGTAACTGCCGTAACAAAGTTACGTCAATTGATAGTTTAACGTCATTCCGGAAAATACTTAGAAAATTTTATACACTTAAATTAAATATAATACTGCGCCCCAAAATTAATAATTTCACCAGGTAATTTCGACCTCTACAGTGTACAAATAGAAAACTCTTTAAATTTTATTCTTAATATTACTTCAAGCATAGAATTTTTTTTTAAAAAAAACGTTTTAGTTTGTGATGACATTTTTATTTTTGCAATATGCGGAAATTTATTTTGCTGAGATATTAATTAATCATATTTGTAAAAAGTGTACAAAAAATATATTTACAGTACTTATAGTCTCGAAAGAAATCATAATATAACGAGGATATTTCATATTTGTACGACAATATCTAATCAGCAAACAGATTTAATAATTTCATGATAAAGTTCTCTTTAAAGATACATTAATTTAATTTAATTCTATTTTTCATTAATATTAATGTAAATAAAAAGTTTCAGACTCAGTGATCCTTTTAACACATTTGCTAAAACTCTCGCGTATAAAACGATATAAGTTAAAATTTTACTTCATTTTCAATGCATCATTAAAGTGATTTAACTTTTTCTAATGTGAGAATAAATTTTGTTAGTATCATTTGAATTAAAATAGTAAAACCACGCGCAAAATGTTAAATTAATAGAAGATTTACAAAGAATTGCGTTGTGTCAAGTGTCAACTTTTTTTAATTTAATTAAAGTAGAATTTCTGGTCAAAAGGATAAAAAATTTGGAAATATTTATTTTTATTTTTATTTTGGGACAAAATATTTAATATTATATTTCTTTTTAACAGTTAAGCTTTGTTAAAAAAAATTGTTTATAAAAAAAAAAAAGAAAAAAAAAATTTCATAATAAATATAAACATGGCATGATACTATCCTAACCAATCTTTTTTATTTATTTGAATCTCTGTGCAAGTGCGCTGATCTTTTTCAGGCGCAGTCCTGCTAGCGTTCCCCCAAAAAAAAGCACTGGTCACGTGTCCAAGTAAAAAATCATCACATCCGTCACACCCCTCAGTGTTTTCATTGTTTATATTTATATGGTTTTACAAAAAAAAAAAAAAAAATATTTCGAATTTTTTTTTCCCAATTTTGAAAACGTAAAATTAATTCCGCAGCAAACATTTTTGTGTATTCAACTATGTCTAGTAACGCTGAACTTACTATTACTAAAAATTCAAATGAGCACAATTGGATAGAAGAAGCAATTTCTAAAAAACTTATTAAATATTATGAATTTGACCAATTTTGTAATATTCAAAAAATTGGTTCTGGAGGCTTTGGAAAAGTTTATCGTGCAAGTTGGAAAAATTATTACAAAAATTATGCTCTAAAATCCTTTTTTAATTTCGATGACGCTACAGTTAAAGCAATTGTTCATGAGGTAATTTTAATATCGAGCATATTTCAATTTATTTATATACATTTCTGAGTTCTATTTATTGCTAGATTCAACTTCAGCGTGAAGTTGATTTTCATGATAATGTTATCAGTTTTTATGGTATCACAGCCACAACTTCCAGTAAAGGTATCAAAGTTCTAATAATATTATTTTTTATATTAAACTTTGATTAATTAACTAATTTGCGAATTTTTTTCTTTTCTAAAAGAAAACCAAAGAAAAAAGTATATGTTAGTAATGGAATACGCCGACAATGGTACTCTCCGAAAATATTTAAAAGAAAATTTTGAAAATCTCACTTGGAATGATAAATTTAATCTTGCATTCCAATTGGTTTGTGCAGTATCATGTTTGCATAACGAAGGGATCATGCATCGTGATTTGGTAATAAATTTACAACTAATTATGATTGCTTAATGTATTTTAATGATTAGTTTATCTTAATTTAATTATTCTATTTTAATATAATCAAATAGCACTCCAATAATGTGTTAGTCCATCAGAATAATATTAAGCTATCAGATTTTGGCTTATCAAAAAGAATTGAAGAAACATCCAACTCTCAATCAAAAACATTTGGAATAATTCCTTATACTGATCCAAAAATTTTTAACAGAAGTACAACAACGTTATATGTATTAAATAATAAAAGTGATGTTTATAGCATTGGTGTACTACTATGGGAGATATCTAGTGGTCAGCCTCCTTTTCATGACATACCGTATGATGTTGGTTTGGCTCTAAGTATTCTACAAGGCCTCAGAGAGACACCTATTCCCAATACGTCTATAGATTATATAAAAATTTATACTGGTAATTATAAAATTATGTTTATATGTATTATAAACCATATAATTTAATTAATTGAAGATAATTTTCTGTAGATTGTTGGAATATTGAACCTGATAATCGATCAACTATCAATCAAGTAGTTGATGAATTAAAAGCAATTATGACAAAAGAAAATATAATTATAAAAGATTTTCACTTATATGATAATAACAAGGATACTCAATTATTAAACGATAAACAGCCAATTTTAGATGTTGAAATTTCTAAAAATATTAATTCATTACATGGAGATTTATCTCAAGTTATTCAAAATTTTAATATGATGAATACAAAAGATATAGAAATGTCAATGTCATCAAATAACAGTTTTGAAAATAACTTCAATAAAATAGTTAATGATATACTTAATTTTCTTTATTATGATGGTAAAGAAGTAGAAAAACAGAAAATCCTTAATTATCTTAATAATCATAACATAACATTGCAAGAGATTAACAATTTATTAAAATAATTTAAATTCTCTTGTTTTACTTGGAAAATTTTATTATTTAGGAATTGGATTCAATGTTGATAATAAAAAGGCATTTGAATTATATCAAAAGGCAGCAGATTTAAATAATGCATTTGGAATTAACAATTTAGGAAACTGTTATGTACATGGAATTGGAACTGATATTGATAAAAAAATGGCATTTAAATTATATCAAAAAGCGGCAGATTTAGGAAATGCAATTGGAATACTTTATTTAGGATATAGTTATTTATATGGAATTGAAACTGCTGTTGATAAGAATAAAGCATTTGAATTCTTTCAAAAGGCGGCAGATTTAGGAAATGCAAATGGAAATTTTTTTTAGGATATTATTATTATTATGGAGTTGGAACTAATGTTGATAAAAGAAAGGCATTTGGATTATATCAAAAGGCAGCAGATTTGGGAGACGTAAATGGAATATATAAATTAGGTAAGTGTTATCAACATGGAATTGGAACTGATATTGATAAGAAAAAAGCATTTGAATTATATCAAAAGGTAGCAGAATTAGGAGATTCATCTGGAATATGTGATTTAGCATATTGTTATCAAAATGGAATTGGAACTGATATTGATAATAAAAAAGCATTTGAATTATATCAACATGCAGCAGGATTAGAAGATTCACCTGGAATATATTGTAATTTGGGATATTGCTATTATCATGGAAGTGGAACAGATATTGATGAGAAAAAAGCTTTTGAATTATTTCAAAAGGCAGCAGATCTAGGAGATAGTTTAGCTCAATATGCTCTTGCTAAGATGTACGAGAATGGAGAAGGAATTGATAAGAATGTAAATAAAGCAATTCATTGGTACGAAAAATCGGCTGAACAAGGAAATCAATATGCTCAAAATAAATTAAAAATGCTTAATAGGGAATAAAAAGCAATTTATATCAAGTAAATTAAGAATACAGTATTTGTTCAAATATTTAAATAGAATATTATAATAATTATTTTAGTTTTTATTTATGATTGCTTATAATAACTATAAACAGATGTCTATTTACTTTTATAAAATTCATAATCTATTAATATATTACTAGGCATAATATTATACTTTTGTACAATAAAACAAATAAGCTTTATGTTACTTATTTAATCTTTGTAGAATTTATATTGCATATTATATTTGCATTTTTGATGTTATTTATTATTTTTTTGTATTATACTCTTACTATATAATGAAGATTCAAACAAAATATTATTGTCTCGACATAAAATTAAATTTTATAAAATAAAATTATTAACGAGTTTTTTTGATAGTTTCTTAAAACTCTCAAATTTTTTTTAATGATTCTTATTGTAATCCGTTAATCCTAATCTCATGCTGATCTTTAATCCCAATCTCAATCCTAATCTCAATCACGGGGTTCGTGAAGACGCCCAATATCCCTCTTTCCAGTTACTACAAATAAAATTTCCACTAACTGCCATAGTAAAGCCACTACTGCTACAGGAAATGTTTCTTATTCTATGTTATTTAGAATCATTAACATTTTTAATTTTTAAAATAGTAACGGTACGTATTGAGTTTGGTTATTGGCTCATGTTTATTTTAAAAGAACAAAAAAGTTTGCTGAAGTCTAATACTGTATTTACTTTAAATAATATATTTTTATATGTGGTGAAAATGTTTATTTATAAATAAGCTAATGTATAACGTAATTGTTGGAAGATCTACACAGTAAAGAAATTAACACTAAATTAACTAAATAGTGAGGGAATAATTTGGAATCAATTCATCGAATTAACCGAAAATCGAATCAGAATAGATTTTACTTGATTATCGAATAAAAAACGAAACTATAATGCCAGCCCGAATTACTAAATTCTACTTCGCGTTATGTCACGTATGTCACGTGACGTTACACTGATTTCCAAAAAGGAAATCTTCTTGACGATCGCTTAGTATTCTATAAGTCACGTGATACATACATTTTGCGACATAAAACTTTACGGCACCGGTTATAACTATTACGGCAACCAACACTAAAATAAACAGAATGAGGTTTCAAGTAGTTTTTATGTTAAATTTGTGATCATTGGAATTGCTTTGCCACAAATTTTATGGTGCACAATCGATTGGAAACGATTAATCGCGATTAAAATCGATTCTAATTATGGGAATCCCTAATTAGGAATTCATCACCAACAACACCACTCATACTACCTACACTACCCACGGTATATTTTTTATAATAGTGTTGTAAAGTCGCAGTGAATATTAATGACTTACCAGCCAAATTATGTGTTTATTATTAAAAAAAAACCAAATAAAAATTTTAATTAAAATTGAAAGTTTTCTTATTCGTATCCGCAAATCGGATTTGTCGGAATTTGATATAATGATTCAAAGTCGCCATTTTTTTATTTAATTTAATAAATTAAATTAAATAAATTAGTCAAAATTAAGAAAATTGGTTAGAATTACCTACTGTATATATTTAATTCGTATAATAAAAATATTACGCTAAGGGACGAAGTCCTCTGCAAGACGCAAATTCTAGTCACTATAAATAAAATTACCTTACATTTACGATGACGTTTAAATTAAAAAAAAGATTTAACGCTAAATAATTTTCAACATTTTTCCAATTTGTGCGGTTTTCAGTATCATGCATTTCGCTTATTATTTTTATTGGACAGAAAACTAAAATTGAAGACGGTAAAATCCGAAAGCAAGCCTTATTTATAGATTTTGTAACATTTTGTTTAAACCTAAAATAGTCATCGATTATCCGCAGCGCTATCGCATTTAGGGGGCTCCCGAGCGGGGATTGACACCGCTGAAATTATCAAAAGAAACATCCACTATCTCATACATCAACCATTACTGGAAAAAAAAGAACGTACTGTATATACGGTGTCGTATCTTAACCACCAAGAATTAATAAATGTCAGAAAAATGAAGATTTGCAAAAAGTTAAACTTTCAGTTACAAAGACGTTAACGATGCTTATGTATCTTAGACCAGTTTAATAAACTTGATAATGCTACTTATTTTAAATATATTTCTAGAACGACTTATTAAAAATTGCAGTTATCCAAGAATATATGCTTAAATAATGTACAATGATTTCGTTATTGAGTTTATTTATGTATTAGTATATTACCATCCATGTATTTATTTATGTTTCATCGTATGACTGAAGAGGGCTTCACCACAAAACCGCATAACGGCTACTACCGAAAAAGCAAGAATCTTGTAACAATGATCAACATATTAATTCTATTTGCTGAATGATTATAAAATAACAATATACAAATATAATCATTGGGTCGATTTGGAGTATCAGGAGTAAACATTTATTCATATGAAATTTCAAAATAATGTTGTACGATCACCGAAACAAACAGAATTTCAGAATTTCATAGAATTACGATTGCTTTGTCATGTTGTACTTGTAAATCCTGTTAAAATACAAGTAAATTTAGTAATATTTTGATACATTCTTCATTTTATACTTATGTAAACAATAACAAAAGTAATTGTTTACTTATATTACTATATTTGTAAATAAACAATTCTCAAAAGCAAAAACAATAACATTCGAGAAACAAAGATTGATATTTACCATAAATGAAAAACTTTTATGATTATTTGGTCAAATGATGATAAATAATAATTTAGTAACTTTTCGATAAAAATACTTTTTTTTTCAGATTATTTGTTTTATTTTATAATTTTTTTTGTCGTCTAAAATAAGTTTACATAATCTCCAGTGGGGACTAATCAAAATTTATATATATGATTATCTTTTGGTTATTCAAGTATAATTTTGTAAAATTTGTATAATTTGCAAATTGTTGATCATTTGATCAACCCCATTTTTTAAAATAATTTGGGCCGAGATCTTCACGGCCTTAAAATCTATTTCAGGCTAATTTCAGTACAACAAACTTTTTTCCATAAAAGTATTAAATTTTTTTTATTTTTTGCTTTTGTTCATGATATACGGTATTTTTATTTATTTATTTATTTATTTATTTTTATTGCTTTTGTTCAAAGAATTATATATATGCACACACGCAGTTTTCATTTTTTTTTTTTCTAAAAAAAAAAAAAAATTAA